GACGACAAATGGTTGCTATGTCAAAAGAATTAAAAGAAAAACGTGAAATTGAAGCACAAAAACTTCAAATTAAACAAAAACGTCAATTAGCTATTCAAAAAGCTGAACAAATTTATCAAGTATAAAAGAACATATATATGTTTTATATATATAAAAATTTCTTATTTATTTTAGGATGCATTTCTTAATGTACAATATGGTTTTCGAATTAAACCATTAGGTTTTGATCGAAATTATAATCGTTATTGGTTTTTTCGAGGTTATCCTGGTTTATTTGTTGAGAAAGGTATGTTTAACCAACATATAATAGCGGATATAGATTTATAGCAATTGAAATTGTTTATAGCTAGGAAGAAGATGAGGATGTATGTAAAAACCCAAAAACTAGTTTTCTAACATCCATTTGAGAACTTTTTGGAAATGAGATGTCTCACCTCTCTTAATGGCAGTGTCCGACATGGATCAATATTTCATCATCCGATCCTTATTTTGTTTTATTAGGTTGGATTGGTTCAGATATAAATTATTCTGTTCAATCATCATCATCATCATCACAAGATTCATCGACTTCTATGACTGGTGAAAAATTAATACCTAAAGATGAACAAAATCAATGGTTTCTTTATGATGATGAAAATATAATTCAACAATTATTACAATCATTAAATGATCGTGGTATACGTGAACATAATTTATTAGTTAATCTTAAAAAAGTTATGCCATTTATTCATACAGAATTTGAACAAATAAAAAAATCTAAAAATTCTATTGAACATCAAGATGAAAATATTGATATAACTTATGATATAATATCATCATTTAAAAGTGAACTTGAAGATATTGAAACACGTTTACGTCTTGGTTCATTAGGTGGTTTTATAATAAATGATAATCTTAATGAATGGCAAATAAAATTAAAACAATCAATTGAACGTATTGATCTTGCTGATTTACTTATACAATTACAACAAACAGTTGCTGATAAATATTCAACAGGTATATTTAATTTACCTGATAAAAAATTTTTACAAATATGGATAAATGATTGTCGAACATGTAAAACATATTCACGTTTATATGTTTTAATGATGATATTTGAAAATTCTATAACATGGAATAAATCAACACTTGGTATTAAATGTAAAATTTGTCGAAAAAAACATAAAGATGAATATATTATTGTTTGTGATCAATGTTGTTATGGTTTTCATCAAGAATGTTTACGTGGTTATTCAGATAATATAAGAAATTCTACAAATGATTTATGGTATTGTCCAGCATGTCGTCCATCATTAACATCAAAACGACGTATTAAACAAGATAAACAAAAAATTGATTATAATGAAAATGATATTTATGATGATGATATGGAAATTGACACAACATCAAATATAAGTAGTCATGAACATAATAATCATAATTTAACAGATTCAAATACGGATAATAATGATGATGATGATAATGATAATGATATTGAAGATGAAGAACATATATGTAGTGTTTGTGGTGTAGAAAATGATTTAATTCAATGTACACAATGTCATCAATTTTATCATTGTCAATGTCATGAACCACCATTAAGATGTCCACCAAGATCAACAACATGGATATGTAATAATTGTCGAAATGGACATACAAATGAAATAAATCATTCATCACGTCAACTGAAAACAAAAAAACAAATTAAAAAATCTAAACAAAAAAAGCGTATACAATCACAGAAATATAATGGAACACGTAGAAGTAAGATATTCTTACATTTCGAATGAACTTCATCAAATTAATTTTGTAAAACTCATATTATGTTTTTTTTGTTCCAAGAAAAATATAGTGAGTCGAGGCTTTGCGGTTCTTCCCTCTCATAGTAACAGGAGGAGGGAGAAGACCGACAACCATTGAGTATGTTTTCCTCAGCAACTGGTGACGATTGGTGTTAGACTCCTTTTTCAGAGTTTCTTAACAACAGAAAAATGTATTAACAATAAGACTTACAAGGAGTGGTTCCCAAGAGTGTCTCATCAATCGAACTGATATTTTGTCCATAACTAGATCCCAACGAGACTAGTTGAAATCAGGCTGCCAGACCCGATGATTTTATCCTTCACCCTTGAGGGGGAAGTTTCCGCACCCCCTTCCCCTCCCCGTCATCGCTTTTTTCTAAAAGACGAAAAATATGCAATAGCTTTTCATGTAGGAAAAAAATCTTTGTAAACGAAATTTTCTTCGGATTCGAGCCATAAAAAAGTGGCTCAATTTCGAGGCCTGGTAGGAACCTATAAGGATTCATCTCCATGCGGTGTTATTATCCCTGGCATGGTACTTACGAAAGAATCGAATTACGAAATTTCAACTTGAATCTTTGCTGATAGATAGATCTCATGAGCTTTAGAATACTCTGAAAATTTCAAAATTCTTTTTCTTTTTTGTAAATATAGGTACACGTAAAAATTATCGTGAAATTGATGAAGACGAAGAAGAAGAAAGTGATGAAGAAGATAAAACAATAGCACAGCGACGTTCAAAACGATTACGACGATCAGATCCATCTCCAATAAAAAATATTGATAATAATCAACATACACGTCGACGAACTCGTATAGCAAAATCCATAACATCATCATCATCGGATGAAGACCAAATAACAAATAATCATAATAAAGATAGTGATAGCGAACAAAATGAAGATGAAGAAGAAAATGAAAATAATAGCAATGATTCTCCGTCCTCAGACTAGTCATATTTTCTAATTATCAATGATGCATCTTAAGATATTCTCGAATTGTATATATATAATAATCTCATAAGTCAAATGTTATCTTTTCCATGTAGATATGATTTTTTCATATATATATATATTCAATCTCAAAACTTTACTTCTACTATTGTTAATCTTAATATTATCGACAAGATATTTGTTTATCTTAACCGGTTGTATATTAAAGTCAAGCAAAAATAAAAATATATGTATGTGTGTATATCACAAATCTAGCTCTATTTTGTTTTTGTTATAAGAAAAACCATGATAGATCTATTTCGTTTCTTCTTTGTATTCGTGTGTCTGTATTTCTTTTTTTCGTATATTACTATAAAATATTTTTGTACGTCGTTCTAGGCGATATATAATTGTACGATGAATGTTTATGTGTTAAAAGAAGACAAGAAAAAAAAAACCAAATTAAATAAATAAAATATGAACTATTTTGGTATGAAAAAAAAGTACTTTGAGAATCATATTCAATAAAAGAACTAATTGATTAGCAAATTTTTATTCTTTGTAATTATATGTTAACTTAAATTAAAGAATTTTCAAATAACTATCTTCTGTCTTGAGAAAGCATGTGAGGAAAGTGTGTGAGTGAAAAGGAGATTCTTATTCTCTAGACGTAGAACAAGTACAACTAATGCAAGTAAAAGTATTATTCTTGTATATCTCAATGAATACTTTTGTAATTGTATTTCAATACTAAAAAAACGTATTTCGTACTTTTGTTTAATATATAAATAAAATGCATCTTTTCGTCGATAAGGTTGACGATCATTGACATATTTTTAAAAGGTGATCGGACAAATCGTCCCAAGGACAAAAAGTTGCAATATTTCATCATGCTAAATCTTTCTATATCTGAAGTCGACTCCATAAACTATGATGCGAGGACCTAAGTGAGGGTGGAGGATGCCGGTGTGTGGATGTCAGCATGTGGATGAGTGTGCATATATGCCTGCAGATGTGTGATGTGCGTAGTGCAGACAATTATAACCAGTCTAACTCACAGAAGATTCTCTCACTTTCTTCAAATCACATCCCAAATCCCAAATCATGTACCTGCCATCTCTAAACTCGGAACCCTCACCTACGACCTAAAACCCACACTCTTAGATTTTACTTTAAGAAGTCGACTTCTGATATAGAAACATCTAGCATAATGAAATGTTGTAACGTCTTGTTCATGCAACAATTTATCTGCGACGATCTGTCCTAGTGCCTTTTTAAAAATCATGGTAATATTATCTTAGGAAAAAATTAATAACGATATAATATTTTAATGAGAATTTTTACTCTACAATACTGATGAATTCACTGCAAGTTATCCGTAAAAGTCATTTGTTTTTATGAAGTTTTAGTAAAAGATTTCTTGAATACATCATGGACTACTCTGAAAGATTAGATTAGAACGATTATTTTTTTTAATAGTATCGTAAGTGAGATGCACGAAGTTTATCTGATCCACTTCGTATATGAATACGATAGAAATCTACTTTCACAGAAATGTACAACATCATCTGAAAGTCAACTGATATATGTATATATCGACTAATTATTTTTAAGTTGAACATTTTCCATCATTGTTGAAATACGTCGAAAATTTAATATAAAAGAGTCTTGGATTTCATATAACAAGCAAATGTCTGATATTGTTTTAATTTTTAATACATTCATATGAGTATGTGAATGAATAATTAAACTATCTAATCGAAAAGGTTTTGATATTTGAAATGTATTTCGTTGATAGCAAGAGTTATATGTTCAAAACTTTGAATTCTATACTTTTATTGTACTAAAAGTAGCTATCAGACTATAGTTAGGTATAGAATCTTGATATAGTTTTGTAGCTCTTTGTTTGGCAGTTCTAGCACACGCCCGAAAATCAATATATTAATATCGCAATCATGAGAGACATGCTGTTTTTCTTGAAGTTTTATATAATACCATTAGAAAAGCAGTTAGAAAAATTTTAAGTTATTCAAAAAATGCCCACGGCCACCTATCTCTGAAATGGACATTAGTTGTTGTTAGACTTTTTCATCATCTTATACAACTAAAACATGTGATGGCGACAGTCATAGACGACGGAAGATTTTGAATCTAGAGTAGACTCAAAATTTTTTATAAGACCCTTACCAACGGGTTAGAGATAGAGAGGATAATTTTTTTTTCTTCTATACCATTCAAATAAAACACAATTAATACTGCTTATTTCCAACTCGATTTTTTTAATTTCTAACATTAGTCCAGACCAGAGATGAGTTTGCAATTTATGACAAAAAAACTTGTATTCAAATAGCCACTTAAACTTTTGTCTCGATTGAATATTCATCTTCAAATATAGTCTATCGGATGCAAAAATTTTGGATCTGAATCTGGATTGGTAGTCTTCGTACTCTCAATACAATTCTTTTACTCCCAATTTGATAATTATTTCGAAGATGCTGCAGTTTTTTCGATTAATTTTTCAGTGACTAGCACACCTTACACATTTTTCAAGCACTTATGACGGTAATATGGCAATAACCAAGTTATTACTAGCTCTTACACGCAGCTAGTATCATCAGATCTGAATTCGAAGACTAGTACCTGGATTCAGATCGGACTCTGGCCAACAGCAATATTTCAGATTCAGACTCAAAACTAAGGTTGGTTACATTCTGAATCTATTTGATGAGCCGCACTCTAGGAAGGGCTTTTGATTTGTACCACTGGAAATTAAGATTATGGCGACGCAGTAATGCTCCCAGAGAGGGAATCTCATTGTGGATTAGTTCAGCGTGTTGAAAATGTGCGATTGGCATCTGAGATTAACAGCTGAGGGGGGAAGGGGGGAACTTTTGAGCATTATCCAGTAGATATGACTGCAAGATTCTGTGAAGGTATTCTTCAAATGTAACAAAACAGTATGACGTGAACTCATTGCTAATGTATACTACAACACAGTCATACGAAACTCAGTTTTTTTCCTAAAAGTGTTGGTAGTTGCTGGTGATGACAGCGAAACCTTTCAAGTACTAAACAAGTTTGTTAATCTGATACAATAAGAAACAACTGTTTGATTCTCTCTTAGGCTATGAAACCTGAATTTTGATGGACTTTAGCTTACTCATGCCGTGTGGCTCCACCTGCTATGGCAGTATGCTGTTCTTTATTACTTAAAATTCAAAAGTTATTTTGAATAGAAGTTTATAACAACAATTAAATTATCTTATGTTGAAAATAAAGAATTAAACATAGATATAGACGTCCACGAAAACCAATCAGTATGCCTCTGTACACGAGTTTGTACTAGATAAAATACAGACTGACATTGTAATAATGCATCATCTGTCAGAAGAACATAAAAATTAACTAATATTATAAAATTTATACGTTAAATCAAGCCTATTCAAGCCTTTACATGTACTAGTTTGAGCCTACCCAGGTCTCATGGCTTCACCGCCTATGGCGACAGTGAAATTTTTTCGTCTTGCTATTCTCTTATAACATTTGATACTACATTTATATTTCTGATCTTTATTTTTAAAATAAATGATTGAACATAGTTCTTCAAATTCAGAGCAAATTTAATAGATTTTTACACGTAATTTCGAATTGATACAAGAAAGTACGCATAGAGTTGAAGAAATATTTAAAATTTGACTAATATGGTGTATGAGATTCTTCTTTTAACGTAATTTCTCGAATAATACACAGATATTGTGCGTCGACTATCTTGAATATCGACTTCTGAACTTCAGAACACGAAATCAATGTCAACAGAATTTCACAAATGAGAAGACAGTGAGAAAAAAAAAGAAAAGAATCGAAGAAAACAATTATTGAATTACATGAAATTTATCTCAATCGTATACGACATCTGTCGAGCGCTCGCTCACATCACCAGCCAACTGGAGTGAAATATGGACTGTAGACTGACTGGAGTTTAGTTCACTTCTGAAGACTGTTCATAATGTATAAGCAGATGAAAAAGAAAGAGAAGAATCATTTCCATTTATATAATAAGAAACATTTATACAAAAAACTGGGCCAAAGTTTTCTTTTATGTTATCATTATTTCGAATTATCATTTACATTCATCTTATCGAGGTAAGCACTTACTTTTTATTATTGTGGTTTTGACATGGCTTAGGCTAATGCTGAAAGAATGAAAAAGTATCGAGAGACAATTAAAGAAGATAAAGTTAAATATGAATCAGTGAATGCAAAGCTTATATTCTTAATACTTCAATAAGTACAAAATTAACAGGGACAAGCTAAGAAGAACTTCGTACCAAAAACAAAATTCGTCAACAAAGATTTCGGGAAAATAAAAGAAAACGTTTCACTAATCAGTCTTCTTCAAGTTCATTCAAAGGTCGTCAATCATTTGGTAACTCATTGAAAAAAGTAAATTCTTCAATTCAACGTGTGATAAAAAGAAAAAAATTATCATTAGCATCTTGCTGAAAAGTTCGATTTGATTTCTAAGTCTACACATTAACGTATCACCGATCAACTTGCTGACAAACTAAAAAAATGACATTCATAATTTTTACTTACGAGACGATATTTCATATCAACTGCCAGGTAAAAAGGAATCCGTTGTTTTTAAAGAGGATGATAGAAGTAAAAATAACTCATCAAAAAACGAATTTTGTTTAATAATTTATGTGAAAATTATAAATTGTTTAAAGATGAAAATGACAATGTTAATTTAAGTTGTTCGTCGTTTGCTGAACTGAGATCTCGGTTTGTTATTTCAACAGTTACTTTAGCACATAGGAATTACTTGTATTTGTATCATGAAAATTTTTGTTTACTTTTAAGATCTCTGGATAAATACGTTGGTCGAAAATACTGTTCATCTTTGCAAACATTTACTGATAGTTTAGTTTTTAATACTAAGAACGAAGAATGTATGTTCAGTTGCTGTCTGCTTTGTGAAAATTTCTTTATAAAAAATCCAGGAAAATGTTTCGAATGATAACAACAAAATTATACGGTTACAATGGGCGAATGAAAATGGTCGTGAAGAAAAAAAGAAGTTTTCAGGTATTGTTGATGAAGCAGTTCAATTGTTGAAGTCCAAAGTTGAATATTTTTGTTTTATGTGTACATTAAACGAGAACAATGAAAGTAATTTGAAAAATTAAGGATGAAAGTTAGTAATGAAAAGATTGTGTTGCTAGTCGATTTTGCAGAGAATTTCTGTATGAAAGAATAAGACGAATTCTGGAAAGCTCACTGGAACACAAAACAGTTGAGTATGTGTGCTGCTTTCGTCTGGCCCAAGAATAAAAAATTTTCGTTTACTCTACTATTTTTCAATGTAACACATGATAAATTTGTTGTCATTTCTTCTTTGGAAATCCTTTGACATCATATTGAAAAAGGTCTCTCGAATGTTAATGAAATAAATTGTTTTTAGGACGGTGTTGCTTCTCAGTTCAAACAACATTTTGATTTTCGTAATTTAATACAAATTACTAATGAACACAAAATTAATTTGAATTGGCACTTTTTCATAACTTCTCATGGAAAAGTTGTGATCGATGGAATTGAGAGTGTTGTGAAATGTCTTGTGTGATTAGCTATATTGGTAGGAGAAGTGTGTCAACCAGCTGAAAATTTTATTAAACTTGCAAAGATAAAAACTAACAAAGTAATTCTTATAGAGATCACGAAAAATGACATTGATAACTCGAAAATTAAACTTGAAAATCTTTTCAAAACGACGAAACCTGTTCCAAAAACACTGAAAATACATTCATCTAAGATAGTAGATTAAAGGTACATTAGAATTTCGTTATTATTCTACGTGTTTTCAAAAAGAAACTATAAAATATTGACAGTAGACATTTACAGTTGTTAGTCCTTTTTTGTGTGACTTTGTTTTTCTTTTTATGTGTGTGTAAGGCAGCCGATACAAGTTAAAACAGTGTTCCCCTAAGTAAGGTTTTGTTGCTTTAGACTAAACAGATGAAAAGAAATAGTAAGAATACCCAAAAGCATCTTTAAAAGATACTCAGCGCAATGGAAACCAGATCTTCGTTCAGAGCTGAAGAACTGTCTAGTTCTCAAAGTTTCCGAGATAATTGAAAGAAAGTGTGTCAAAAATATAACGACATTGCATTTGAACAAGTCATTATACTTACGACATTTTCTGTAGATCGTTCAATCATGAAAATAAACCCTACTTCTCGTGCAAAAAGGCTGACGCAAAAAATCGATTCTAAGTCAATTTTAATCGTACACCTTTAATCGAGTATTCTAGTTACTTTTGATTAAAACCGGTTTTATAATCATAAATAAATCGCTTATAATCACACGAAAATGATTAAAAACGATTTTTTTGCACAATTTTAAATCGGTGTTAATCAAAAATAATCCGAATAATCGATGAAATTTCAATATTTGATAAAGTTTCAGTGCTACGTGATGTGTCTGATAAAATATTATATTGATGGCTTTCATTGATTGTAAACGAACGAAGTCGAACTAGTTTTCTACATACTTCTTTTCTATCTGTATCAATATGATAATATGTGTTTTCTAGGTGATCATCAAAATGAGTCATTAGACAAACACGGGTCCAATTCTCAATCAATAAATGTTATCGTAAATGACAAGGAAGACAATATATTAGATGAATACGATGATATATTAATATCCTTGCCGCAATTGCTATCAATATCAGAAACAAAGCGAAGATATAAATCCAGTTCATATACCAATTGCTCATTAACAGTTCGTGGATGCGAGGCATAGTACACACATTTATTATACAACAGAGAACCTGTCAATTTATATTATCGTGTTGTGATAAATACTGCTGATTTAAGACGCAACAAGGAGAGCAATAGCAATTTTTTTACAATTTAATAAGATAAGCACGAATACTAATTGATACATATGTCTACATATCAACTCTTTGTGTGAAAAGGACCAACATTATATTAGTACAAGTGTAACACTAAAATCTTAAAAACCATAAAAAGTAAAGTTAGAAGAAATTCCACGATGATGAGTCCATGAAAGAAAATACTATTCAATTCTTTATATGAAAAGATAGCAGCAACAAATGTGTATATCAATACAATGCAAGTATAGATAAAATTATAACAATATATATGCAGTTTGACATTAATCATTTTAGATAAAGTTAATTTCGGCTGAATAAATCGATAGCAATATTAGAACGAAAGAAGACGATAATAATACAGAAGAAGAAAATGAAAATGGATATTTGTTCTGTTTTCACAAGAAAGTTATAATCAATTGAGGCGAGATGAAGTAGATCGACAACATACTAGTCAAATATTTGCACAAATCCTTTCTCTTCCTGGACGTCATGAAAGGACACAAAGTTATTTTGGAAAATCGAAAAAAGCTAGCAAATACTTTTGAAAAATAAAGTGAGTTTAATAGTCTTGGTACTCTTTTAAATATAACTTGTGAATTTAGATCTTTGTTGATGCAGGAGAACAGAATTTTTCTGCGGAAAATTCTCAAACCGGTGCCATCGAAAATTCTTTTCCGTCTGAATTGGTAAGATCGTAGTTGTTACAAATGATCACATCTTTTTCTGTTAATTCTCTAGACATCCTCTATCGACAACGGTAGCACATTCTTTAATGCTCTGCTTATTCCAGGTAATAAAACAAAAAAAAACTTCCTTTTCTCTCAAATTAGTTGAGACTTTTTTCTCGGAATGAATTACTCGACCCTGACTCCATGACAAAGAAAATAGAACTTCTTCAACATTCAATCTATTTATTTATTAAAGATTTGTTGTAGTTTTTCTGCAACTTAAGAAAAAACTCGAATACTTCATCAATAGTTACAAAAAGATTCTTCAATAAGATATTCATATGAAAGATCTTTCGTGGGTAGATTCGAATGAAGTAAATAATCATTAAAATGAATACTCAATCTTCCATAATAATTATTTAGTACATTTAAAAGAGTTTTTGAGTGGGATTTCAATTTTAGAAACTATACGATGTCAATTAAAATTATTGTCACAACTGCTGGAAATTGAATGGTCAAATTTTCATGAAGCTATTTGAACAAGACACAATACTGGAAGAAAATTGTGCTTAAATACATCATAGGTAACACAGCAATTTTTAGTCACAATTCTGACGAATTAAAGGAACTACTGCAATCATAAGTATATTTTAATATTGACTACCTTCAAATTGCAATTTCTGATAAGAAAGCATCATAATGTAATCTACATATGTCGCTATATTTTACTTGAAAATTGTATTTCCTTGTTCAATTCTGAATGTGTTGTACGTACTTTAGTCATTTTTATTGTATATATGTTCTTACTCGTTCATGAAAATATTTTTTTCTTCTCAATGTTATTTTGAATCGTACACCTTTTCTTATAGAGCAGACGTAATTACTTGAGATAGAGCATATATTTATTGAAAAACTATCGTTTTTATGCACAAAGTTCTCGATCTCTTTCATAGAATACTTAAATCTTTGTTTGTTGGAAAAGAAAAACATTCACAATAATTTTTTCTTGTAAATACCAATTGAATGATCAATATTGTAAACCATTCTTCGGCCTACTTCTAAAATTTTTGTAATCATTTTGTACAGGAAAGAAAATTGCATGACGTATACGAAAATTAATGTAGAGCCTTTTACAATGATTAAATGACAGTCGATGCACTGTAAAAAATTAACACACATTTCACATGAAAAATGACCTGTCATGGGCAGTATTTGGCAAATAATTCTAGATCAGTCCATCGAAATAGCATATTTAAATAGCTAAATTTGTTCAGCTTTTAATACTTGGTTTTTTAGGATATAAAATCAAAATTTTCTCGAAAGTCTCGTCGTCTTTCGAAAATTAATTTTATATAAACGAGTTTTTTATGATATTTTTCAACTAACCTTATCAGTACTCGACATTCGTTTCAGGTTTGTTTTTTCACTAGGCCAAATAAATGCCCTGAATATTTGGATGTAGAGATTTTAGAATATGCTGATTAAGATGAGAATGTGATTGATAAGTACTTTGATCTCTCGATGGTTTTTGGATGCTCTCTTAATACATGATAGTCATAATTCAAAAAAACCAATTACTACAAGTGTAAACTCTTTTATTAATAGACTAGGAATAAATTTAATTAAGTCCTTATTATCATTCATTCAAATACACTTAGTATTACTCAAGATGAACAGACAACATTCTTTTCTTATGTCTACAATTTCTTCAAACTTATACAAACTGTCAAGAAAGAAAAATGTTTAATTACTTTCATGATGAGAATAGTACGAAAGTCCTTTTCAAAAATAAAATTTTAAGATATATAGATCACAAATTTACTATCACCAAGCTTTTTCTTTGATCAAAATAAGTTTTTATTGATATCAAGCAATCTCATTACTTCAAAGTCTATTTAGCTAATATGTATTTTATTGAAACAATAAAATATATTCGAATCATGCAAAAATATTTTATAAATATAAAGTTTTAATAATTAAAAAAATATGCAATGTCATATATTTAAGTAAATAATTTTCGAAACAAATTGGTGACCGATGCAGAACCTTTTAACGAATGTGGTTTCTTATCTAAGTCTTGCATTGGTAAACCGATAACGCCACAAGCTAAACGGGCACCAGCATTTCTAAAAAAAGGAAGATTTTAACAAGATTTGCGCCTAATATTAAATAAATACCCAGTTGTATTACTATCTGGAAAACCACCTTTGCCGCCATCATCTCTCATGGCATGTAAAACAACAGTTCGATTAGCAATTGATCGTGTAGCATTGTATAAGTCGATAATTCCATCACTCAATTCAACAACAATTACACCAACATCATTTGCTGTTAAATTACCAAGATCACCTACATGTCGGTGTGTTAAATCAGCTTCGGGTGGACCATGTAATGTGTCTAGATAGACAGAATACATCACATATTTTTTATTAAAGATTACTTTATATTACTGTAAGGATTAAAATGAGGACCAGCAGCTGTACAATTAAGTTCACCATTCATTAATGAATCTCTATGTACATGAAAGCCCTGAAGAAAATAATTATTTAATTAATTCCTCTTTTCATATGAAGCATACATGAACAGTATTTCTCTGAAGGCCATCGATTAGACCAATAATACGAACTGGAGAATCAGCATCACGTTGATAAAATAATAGACTACCAAGTACAATTGTAGTAGAGTCTGCATGAAGATTGGCTATTGATGTCATGGTATTTTGTCCATCTTGGATAAGTAAGAAAATAAAAATGGCAAAGAATAAAAGTTTCATATTTAAAGAAGAGATAGTTTCAATTGTAAATAGTTTATCTGTTTAAATGTAACCAAAAGAAGTCTATTTAAAGTAAAAGCTTATCAGTATATTTTTTAGTTTGATTTGAAGGGGTGCCTTCTTTATCTATGACTCTTAAATTCTTTTGACGTATATTTTATTACAAGAAAAAGGCAAAAAATAGCAATTAATCAATTGACACAAAAAAAATCCTTCAATACTATTTTCTCATAATTCTAATAGATAATATGCATGAATATAATGAGTGAAATGTTATTTTGTTTGTTTATATATGTATATGTAATACCAAATTTTGTAACCGATTATCATTGCGGTCAGTAGAACAAATATGACAAGACGAATATCTAATCTAACTGAAGATGTTGACAAAGACGTTTGAGTTGCTTCAGTGGATTACTGAGTTGTTGTTATTACATCATGAAGCCACAGTTTGATCAAACACAAAAAGAATTCGAGCATCAGTAGTTTTATTTACATAACAAAATAAGATTTTCTTTTATAAAGTACGAAATCGTATCCCATTGTAGTACAATTAGGTAATCCACCGTCTCATCATGATAACGAAGAAGATGTATAATAACAATTCAATTGATAGTTGATTGTGTCGCATTATATTATTGACTAAGCCAATCTTTTATATCAACATTAACTTTATCATTCTCATCAGTTGTTTAATTTCCAAGATCTCCATCATGCTGATTTCTTATATCAGTCATATAAGAGCCATGAATATTTTCTAAAGAAAACGAAAAACACTTTCCTATCTAAATTAACGATTTGAACATTTTACTATAGGGATTAAGATGACTACCAGCTGCTATACAATTTGTGCACTCTTTCTAAGATCGGATATACATGAACATAAAAACCCTAAAATAAAAAAAAAGAATAATATAAAGATTTATTTCTTTTTCTTATTATGTTTGACATACAAGTACATTACTAGCATTGTGTCCTGAAAGTAGATCAGTAATATGATTAGATGTAGTAGCATTCTCGTGTTTGAATGTCAAATTGCTACAAGATATTGTTGAAATACCATAGCTGTTGCTTTCATAACACATTGTTCTTGATGAATGATCAAGAATAAAGCATTCACAGTTAATATAATCATAATACGTGATCTAATATGATACCAGTAAAACAAAGTTTACTAAATTTAAATATAATAATTACACGAAGAACATCATCGAAGAAAGGAAAAATAATTAAACATCTAGAAAAACGTAGATGAATGTGTTTTAACTAATGAATACGTAATAAACAAAAAAAGACATGATGATATCATGAATTTCATCTACAAGTTGACGAAAATTGCAACATAAACAGAAACTTTTTGCTTTTCTCTTGTTCTCCTTCCTTTAGTCAAGGTCTACACAAAGAGATAATAAAATAGTTGGATGTTATTTACACTGGTCAAAAATATTGCAAACAAATATGTTTGCTTCATTCTTTTCTTTTTATCGCTTATCGTATTGATATCAAACCATATTTGTGTGTTTATTCTGTTACTATGATACTTCATTTGTATTTCTCGTCTAACAGAAAAATACTCAAAAATTCTTTCGTTCTTTTCTTGTTAAAACTATGTCTATAGAATTAAGAGACGAATAAAAACCAGTGATTGAAAGTAATATAATCGTCATCGAGTAATGAACATAAGTTTAAATGATAACAAATCATAATGAAAATAACTACAAAGACTAAGATTAGAATTGATTATAGATTTATAAAAAAAAAAGTAGTCATAATAAATATTAACAAAACAAAACAGTACTTCATAAAGACACTAAATAGAATAAGAATGAATTTTGTTTTCGAGAAAAATACGTACACTACAATCAAAATAAAATGAGAAAAATAATAAATTAAAATTATTTAATGAAATTATTCTTTTCAATAGATTCTCTTGATAAATAGATCCATTTAGATGAAATTTTCAATAGCAAATGACTCTAATGAGATATTCTTTTTGGATAAAATTTTAGTCTGACATATCATAGTAGATTAATAAAGTTTTATCATTATCAAGTGTATGATTTCAAATGACAGTTAAAATTTCCATAATATTTTAAACTATCAAAATGTTTCAATTTTGCTGACAAAAACTAAAGATCTAAGTCTTCTTGGACGACAAATGACTATGTAAAATAAACCAAAACTCTTCAGAACAAATGAAAAGAACTATTTTCAAATAAATCTTTATCTTTCACGGAAATATAAACAATTAATTTGTTCAGTATTCGAGACAAGTTATTAACACTAGTATTTTCAATAATGGTAAGTATTTTCGGCATAATATATTAAAGAAACAATGAAGTTTTTTTTTATTGCAAAAATCAGGATATAAAGTCAATAAGTTGATAAACATAGTAATGAGTTTCAAAAAAGTTTATTTTTATTCTGAAAGAGATTCCAGTGTATCTACTAGAGTTCTACAGAGTGAAATTTTTTCGACGCCAACTTCGAACATTTTTCTTTTACTAACATGCACAGTTTTCTAGTTTTCTGTTTTATATTATTTGACTATTGGATTAATAGTTTTCGTTTACTGAACGTTACAATTATCAAAAATGGCTGCTAGATAAGAAAAGAATGAAATAGGATTTTTCCGAGATTTTTCATTTACGTCGACCTCCACTTCCATCGGAGTCCAATAGAGAACTCTTGTATTTACCAAAAAGAAAAATTCGGTTGTACAAGAGAAGTGTGCTGACATTGATCCATATTTCCATTTGTCATAGGTTGTGTTGTGTATATTGACTCATATTTATAATGTTTTCATTTTGTTTTCTTATTAATACTTACTTTCTCTATTGCCATTATTCAGTCTTCTATATAACAATATTGAGATTAAAAGATTATTTCACAAAAAAAAGCGAAATATGACTACACGAACAACACTGTTTTTATTATTTAAATGAGATTAAAAATTAAACAATATGCAAGAATATAATTAGTGAAATAATAAAATTAAGCTTTATTATTTAAAAACAATTTTTGTATGAAATTAAAAAAATATTATAATGACAATCATTATTGCTATATAATGTATGAACATAGTTGGTTTAATAATCAATGCATTTGATGTTTGAATAAGACCGCAAAGAATTCGAGCACCAGCATTTCTATTTAAATAACAAAATAAGTTTTTCTTTTACAAAATACAAAATCATACCCGGTTGTAGTACTATCTGAAAATCCTCCTTGACCACCATCATCACGAAATCCATGTACAATAATAGTTCGATTTATAATGGATTGTGTTGCATTATATAATTGAATAATCGAATCTTCAAGATCAATATTAATATTACCACTCGCATCAGTTGTTAAATTTCCAAGATCTCCAACATGTCGATTTCTTATATCAGGTGTACGAGGACCATGAGTAGTATCTAAAACAAATGAAAAAAAAATAAAAATCAAACTTTTTAATGATGTCAACGTTTTACTATAAGGATTAAAATGACCACCAGCTGCCATACAGTTAGGCGCACTTTTTAAGACTGCATATTCATGAACATGAAAACCCTAAAATGAAAAAAAGCGAATAATACAGAGATTTATTTATTTTTTTTTTAATTATGTTTGACATACAAGTGCACTACTAGCATTGAGTCCTGAAAGTAAACCAGTGATACGAACGGGTGTAGCAGCATTCTCTTGTTTGAATGTTAAAATGCCGTAAGACGTTATTGAATTATCAGCATATAGAGTAGCTGTTGCTTTCATGGCACATTGTCCTTGATGAATGATCAAGAATAAAGCACTTACAATTAATATAAACATGATACGTAATCTAATAAGAAGAAAAATTTTAAATTTATGTGTGTGTACAAATAAGAAAATGTTCATTATATAGGAGAGAGTCTACATTAGTAAGTAACACCGAAATACTTTATTTTTTATTTGAACAAGGAAAGTACGTATTCATACAATTTCTCTTGCGATTATATCTGTAAGCCCTACAATTAATCCATATACATCGGCTATTTAATTCAACATGCAGAAACCTAAAACAACATTTAACAAAGGAAAACAAACAAAATCTCATATGTTTGAGTAAGGTATGGATTAGTTGTTGTTGTTGTTGTTGTTTCATAAGAAAAATAAGATATTTAAAAAAAAGTACGATTTCATGTGAAAAATCAAGGAAAATGCAACATAATAGGGTTGGATTGAATTCTTTTCTTTTTTCTTTTATTCTTCAGAAAATATTTACATTTATGAATTATTTATGCTTGTTAAAAGGAAGAGATATATCTTTTACATTTGATCTATCATGTTGACATGCAACCATCTTTACCTTTCTTTTTTTTCTTTTATATTTTTGTAAGTGTCTTATCTCATAGGTAAATACCAAAAATTCGCTTATTCTTTTTTTTTTTTGTTAAATATATGTATATAGCATTAAGAAATCGATAAAAACATAAGTGATTGTTGTAATATAAGCATAATCGAGACAACGACGAATAATAATGAAATCAAGTGCGAAGAATAAGGTGAGAAAAAAAAATCTAATTTTCTGATATGGAACGTAGAAGATAACTATACCTCAAGCAAATAGACGGAATAAAATATATGATGTATTAATATCAACAAGTATTTAGTCTTAAGTCTTTCCTTTTTTTAATAGAAAAATTACAAAAAGAAAAAAAAAACAGGAGATCCGTTACAAGTGACCGATAATTAAATATAATCATTATCAGCGTTCCGTTATAGTATCGATAATTAGTAATGTTCATTTTTTACGAAATTTTTTTTTTTTGTTTTTTGATTAATTATTTAGATTTTTCTTGTGACAATTTTCATTTTAATATCATTTGTAAAACATACTTATTGTGCAATATCACAATATAAATGGATGTACTTTATGCCATATGGAAATACTGTACATCTTGAACCACTTTTTAATGATACAGAATGTATTGGTCCATCATCATGTTATTGGCTTTTACCAGATAAAATTGAACGTTTATATTATCCATTGACTGAAACCAAACCATTGAAATATTCCATGTCATCTAATGGAACATTAACTATAGTTAATATTCAACCGAGTGATAATGGAATTTATCATTTTTTTACAATGAATAATAGTGATTGGATTGTATCAAAAGCTTTATTAAATTTACATGGAGCACCATTTGATTCGCTTTGGTCAGAATATTGGCCTAATGTAAGATATTTATTAAACTATTAATTTAATTTTATATTATTTATAATCTAGGTTGTTGGTGGTCTAGTTGCAATGGCAGGTAAAAATTTATATTTAAATATTTTTATATTCTAAGAATTAATTATATAGCTGTTTTCATAACCTTCGGGCTAATTATGTTAGCTGATAAATATCGATATCGTCCATCTTCAATCTTATCAACACATCATATATCTAAACGACCAGGAACTGTTCAACCTCTTCATGAATCTGGTGTCTTTGAACGAACAAATCCAGGTATATTGAAATTTTCTTTTTAATTCAATAAAAATTCTTCATGGTTTCATGTTTTCTTTTTTTTTGTTATTAGTATTTATTAATGATGATAATGATGAAAGTACAATGCAAAAACATGCGCATAGTCGACGTTCATCAACTAATAGTAACGTGGCTAATCTACGTGTTGAACAATTTTAAATGGAAAGCATTTGATATCTTGATGTGCACTATAGACTTTTCATTGAAGTATATATTTAAATAATAGTGAACAAAAGAAGAAAAAAAACTCTATTTTTCACATTGGATAATAAATCATTTTTTAAAAACCTATATTCTCATCTAAACAATTGTCAAGGCATGTATTTATTATTCATGTATAAAATGTTATGAAAAATAGATGACTTTTTTCCTTGATAAAAAAAAAATAACTTCATGATAGAATATTCTATACATCTTATTCACTTACCAGCTGTTAAATTAGACAAAAAAGATTTTGTCATTTTCACATACTGATCTAGCGAAAGACATAAATATACGGCGAGAAAAAAAAGTCGTCGGAACACGCGTATGCATAGAAAATATATAAGTAGATAGAGGAAAAAAGAAATCTCCGGCGTAATAGTAGAACGACAAAATACATCGATGGAACAACTATATATATGATAACGTCTCATTGTAAAACTGATGGAATAAAAAAAGAAGGAGAGAAAGAAATATCCATGTCATGTCATCAAGTAACATGCTGTGGTAGAATTTGGAGATGATGCAGAGAAATAAAGAAATGATTACTCCTCTCTAACAAATTTCCGATTCTGCCGATCAGAAAATAAACTGATATTATTTCGAACAAAATCTCAATACACATTTTGTTTGACTACAGTCACTTCATTCATTCCTTAAACAGACGTGAGATTTCTGCTCTAGTCAATGGTTTATTTTGTCAGACGATTGACTTATTTACAATATACATCGACAACCTACACATTTTTTATACAATTACAGAAAAGTAAACAAGTGTTTAGTATAAATAGATAAAAGGTTAAAATCCAACGATTATGTTTTTTGTAATTCAGTTTTTTTTTTGAGACAATTAATTTCTTACACAAAATAAATATAACTGAATCTTTGAATCAATATTATAGATTTTATCGTTAATAGAACAAGTCTAATACTGACCTTCAAAATAAAGAGATTTTTTTTTTGTTCGAAAAAGGTCGAATGCTCTTATCAATTCAACGGGTTATTTTCTCATCGGATGTAATATGTCCGAATAGTGTTGATGCAGAAAATGACTTTCTATTGTTAAGAGTAATTTCCAATATATTTTCTTTTATGTTCACACAATTTACAAGTAATTTCCTTCAAAGAAACTAAGTATTTGTCAAATAAATAGAAATATAACTTTTATTTATGAAAAATAACGAAAAAAAAAATCATACGAAATCAATTCAATTTTAAAAATAGAAACATCAACATAATTGACAAGATTTTTCAAAATATTTTATATACAAAGTGAAGAATATAATATCAACTTTTATTTAATGATGGTTGTACACCAAGCATTGTTGCACTAAAAACACGATCATATTTAAAAATTTTTAAATCGTATTTATAATGTTTTGGACAACAATGTTTATGATCTGAACAACAAACTCCTTCTTGAACTGGACAACACGAATAGTCACCATCTATTGAAATACAACCAGTACAATTCGCTGGACATATTGATATAGCATCCGGACAAATAATATTTGTATTTGATGCTGGCTTTATTTCGATATTTTCAGAAAATACCGTTATTAATAACAAACAAAATAATATAATAATGAATGTCTTCATTATTACTCAGGATACATTTAACAGACTGTTGATTTTTTTTTTGTGACTTATGGTTTTATGAATGATAAGAGAGATACATGAGATATAATGTCTCTTTGAAAGAAATGAATAAAAAAGCAATGGATTTAATATTTTCTCATAACCAATATCGTTCTGCCAGAAATAATAACATCCGGAAGCATTCACATCAAATTAATAAAAGAAAACTATATTTTGCTTACGAGTCAAGTATAAGTGGGAACGAATATTACGTATCAATAGAATATTCCAAAGTCAAAGAGTACATCATTTGCTTTTCGGCATTCTTTCTATACTAAATATAGAATCTCTAAAGATCGAATGCCTGTTTACATGTTAGATTGTTAGAACTCGTATTTGTTGCTATTTCTACTATTTTATGGGCTATATGACGATGAGAGAGATTGATCATATAGTGTTGATAACTTCGTGCATTTCGTTTTTGAGAAAGCTTTCGGTGATAGAAGTCAATCGAAAATGTACGAATAACATTGTTTGTATTCTTATGTGATTAATACTGAAGATTGTCATTTTCTCATTGCATTTAGTTTTTATCATTTTTCTGTTTGCATTAATACATATAGAATCCATGAAATTGGATTTATCTTAATCTTCTCGTATGTAAAACAATGAAAAGCTGTTTGAATTTGTAACTGTTTTTTCTTTTTGAAAAAATTCTCATACTCAAAACTTGATAATACTTAAGCAGACAGAAATTTCTGAGAATGTGTTTAAACACACTATTCACCGTTCTCATGTTCATTTAAAAAAGTACTAAAACCAGTTAGTTTTATTACAAAAGATCCAGGAAGATGCTGAAAAAGAAAACTTTTGCATTTAAAAAACATCCAGACAGAAAGTTTTCTCATAATATTTTTTACATATACTAAGCATACGTCAAAATATCCTAGAAAAAAATTTTTTGCACGTTTTCTAGGTGCAAAATTTCCTTTTCCGACATCTTCATCAATCTTTTACGATGACAGTAGTATGATTAGATGTTTTCTAGATGGTCGTGAATTCGGTCAAACAAGAACAGCAATTAGAGTGTTGAAATGCGTTGTCAGAAATTCTTGTCTACTTGAGTATTGCCATTTAACAAAATCTTTAAATGTAAATTTTTCAGGATGAAAAAGAAAACGAGATCCTTGTTAATTCTTGATTTTATTGCTACAAAGTATAGATTCTCTAAATTTTAATCTACAGAAATATATGAAAGTATCAAATCTGGTTCAAAATGTTATGAGTTAGATATTTCAAAAAGAAATTGTAATAGCGATAGATATTAGGTAATACTATTTTAAATTATGATACAAAAATTGAATATCAAATACATTTGAGATCTGTTGTTGATCTATGATAATAAAAAGGATTCACGAAACTAATATATGCATTTTCATTGTGAATATAAAATATTTTCATGTCAATAATATGAAAATATAAAATGTGTTTATCGAATGAACAAAGATTTGACAAGCATTTTCTCACATGACATTGCCGATGTAAAATAGTATTTCATCATAAAAAAAAAAGAAAACAAAAGATAATAGAAAGTCGAATTTTCTTTTCATAGATAATAAGAAAAAAAAATGCTGTTAGAACAATTTATACGACATATTTTGTTTCATAAGATGATTATTGTAATTGAGAATTGTAATAATGAAAAAAAATAAAAATGCTTTCAATATTCTTCAAACAGAAGATGCTATAAAATTTCTAAAGTCGTATTAGAAAAAAAACAAGTACAACATTTTTATTCCTAGCTGACTTAATTGAAACATTGTTAAGCGAACTAGAGATGAATAAACATTTCATTTGTGTACTTTGAACTCATCCATTATTTTTTCATTGAAGACTAAGCCGAGAAAAATAAGTTTTTGTTGATATTTAATATACAGTACTGATTTATGCATGTAAATTCAAAGATATTTTATTCAATAATTTGATGCAGAAGTGATACAAAAAAAAATATTTTCAAGTCAAAAATTTAAATTTGTATGAAGCATGATTTTCTTCTGAAACTCTTGTTCAGAACCATATGACATATACGTAGTTTTTCTATTATTTACAAAAGTCATCAATAAATTCATTATTCTTAATAGTCATTTATTTAAAAAACAAAATTGTTTGATCGAGAAAATGGATTATAAACTATCAAAAAGTATGAAATTATAGGAGAATACTCTAATGCCACTGCGCGAATATCAGATACAGAAAGTTTTTAGTCTAAGTCTTCGATCAACATACTACATCTTAATTTTTATTTTGATTATACAGTTGATTTATGTTTTGGTACAGACGAGTTTCGATTATCGGAAACGAATGGCATGGATATATATGTTGTTGTATATGTGTAAGTGTCAATAGTTTGCAAAAAAAAAATAATAATAATAATAAGTCTCGACATAAATAATGAGCAATTCTTAATAACAAAAAATTCTTCTTTTTTCTTTTTTATCTTATATTTATTATTCTGCATTTGGCTCATTGACACAGAACGCGATTTGTCATCGTAGTTCTTTTTTCTTTGCATCTTCTACATTGCTTTATATAATTTTACTTCTTTTTCTTTTCATATTCTATTGTTTTTTGGTGTCATATCAATGAGCATCTTTACACAGTTTGCAACACAACTTCTTATTAATAAAAATACACTCGTACAATTATTAAAATCATTAAAATTTTCAAATGAATTTATTAACGAATTTCGTAATGATCATATTTATATTGATGAAGATATAATCAGACGAAAAATTCGTATTTTATGTGATATAACACAAGATGAATCTTTTCAAGACTTATTATGTCATGATAATGGCATTCAATTAGTTTTTCATACAAAACCTAATGAGTATCGTTTTATGCGATTTCGTATTAGTTTTGATATTAAAATTATTGCAATCATTTTAAATAATCAACAACAAACTATGCAATTTTTAATTAGTAATATTCAAATTAAATCACTTAATTATCTTTCAAAACCATTTCGATTTTGTTTTCAGGTAAAGAAAAGCGAGTTGTAAGTTAGCAATTTTAATGATAAGTCAAAATTAGTTCAGTCAAGTGAATCAAGCATGAATAATTATGAATTCTTGTTGATATACTTGGAATGAGAGAATTAAACTACTAACATATCATTAACAAACATAAAGCGTAAATTATTGATATTAAAAGATCTAGGACTTTTCTATTCACAATGAGTAGGTGCTCTTTTCTATTAGCATTAAGTATTCTGAACTTTGCCAGAGCAGCACCTACTCACCATTTTTCTAGAGCACAATGATCTTTTTGTTTTTTTATACTAAGAAAAGTAGAGCAACATGTTAGTTTTTCTAGATGTAATTCAAAAAACATCCCAAATATTTTACTAAGTATGAGAATAACAAAACATTATCACTGATTACAATACTTTCAGCTTGAGATTTTGCTTTTTTTTATTGTAAGTATCAAAACGTTGTTTCTTTATAAACTGAAGAGATAATTTATTGAACATCAACAGTCTATTCTATAATCTCCGTTTATTAAAAACATGTGAAGTTTGAAATAATTAACCAATAGTAATTACTCAGAATCAAAGTTTCACTAGTGTAAATATCAAATTGTAGATCTTATCTCAATCTCATATTGTTTTAATGGTTTTCTTTAAATAAAAGCGTAGGACATAAAGAAATCTTGATTGATCGTAAACTATACATACTTTTGTTCTGCATCAAGAGAAATTTTCTGCAGAATAAACATCCAATATATTTACATATTCTAATTTTCCTATTAATTCAAGCGCATATTCATTAATACAGAATAGAATACACAACTAACTTCGTAAGACTTTTTAATCTTTAAACCTTGACTAAACCATTTATAGTTTTGTCATGAATGACCATATAACTATTGAAATAAGCATAATTCTACATATCATTTATTTTAGTCTAAAGCTCGTACTTTGATTATCGACGAACTAGAACGCGTATGCACAGAACAACATATTCCATATGAAAGATTATTTAAAAATGTAAAACGTCCTTTAGCTTATCAAATTAACTTATCCAATATGAAAGAATTAGACCAATTACGTGAACGATATTTAATTATTGGTAATCGATCAATACTTGATTTTATACAAATAACATGGATTGAACATCGAGAACAAGCTATTGTATTAGGTTATCTTTTAAAAACATCATTAAATGAAAAAATAACGTTTCCTTCTATTCAACAAGTGACTTTAGAAAAAAGTTCAATGTTATTATAAAGAATTAAAATAAAAGACAAAACATTTATAATTACTATTACTAATAAGGAGTGACGTGTTTTCTCATTTTTTTTTCTCTCAATGAAAGCATGCCATAGAAAACATAAAGAAAAAGTCAGAAGGTGTATTTTCAGATGAGAAACTAATAGAATGATTATAATGATATTGCATTATTTATTTTGTTTCTTATGTATAATTGATGAGGAGTCAAATGCACTTTGATAATATACAAAGCATCAGAATTTGTTAAAAAATAAACCCATAGTCTCGAAGAATGCTTTCGTACTGTTGCGTTATGCTAAACAATGACTTTCCATTCTATATAATGCAAAGTCTAATGAGTAATGATTCAATGAAAATTAAAATTCGATTCTTTATTTGTCGACAATACATTTTTGATCTATACGAAGACTTTTGCTGAATCGTATAGTATGCACTGGCATTGTTTATTTTGTACAAACAATTGATATTTGAATATACAAAGAAAAATCGAACATCGAATACGAGGAAACGGAAAGAAGACAATTGTTATTAGAAGAAAATCAAGTGCAAGAGTAGCAATCTTTTTCAAAAACACTATACATGTAATATTTTGCGATCAAATGAATTTTATAGATTCGTTGAAAAGAATTCTATTTCAATACATTAATAGCATTTACATTGGAAATATTTCTGAACTTTTCAGTTCCGATAAATATTTCTAAAGAGGTGATATGTCAAAAGCATGCTCGAAACATACATAAATACATAAATTTGAGATTTGTATTTTTCATACGAATTCTACTTATGAGAATACATACTGGAATATTTCACTTGATTTTGCTACATCTTTTGATCATCATCAGATTTTTATGTGGTATTAAAAAGACAAACTTTAAAGGATTTGCTCCTTTAAATGTTTGATCTTGAATTATGATTGTTTTAATGAGTGTTTGATTTTCGGCAAAGGAATTTCAAAGAAGTTCGAATAACATATTTTTAATCTGATATTTTTCTCATTGATTAGTCTCAGAGTTACTAGAATGTTCTAAAGTTTTCAGACAAAACGAATGCTTCTTTCTTGAGATAATCAATTACGATAGTATTAATAATTCGAGAAATTTGAGTTGTTGTGCAAACCTTGTATCTCAAGAAAGAAGCATTGATTTAGACTAAAACTTTCAGAGCATCCTAATTCCTGTAAGATCACTCCATGGAAAATGTATCAGATAAAAAATAAGTTATTCAAAATTTCTTGTTATAGATCCAAAGCTCACTACAATACAATAGATGAAGTACAAACAGTTTCAATATCTTATTAATTATATTTGTTTGTTAACTACATAGACTGATGTTCATTTACAAACATCATTCAATAGTAACTTTGTGAACATTTTTTCCTTAAAAAAAAACAGATTATCAAATGTAACAAATGTCAATTTCCATAGAACTATATGTCTGAAAATATTCTATGTCATGTGCATATGTTAAATTTTTTTAATTAACAGATTATTACAACGTTTCAATTTTACACATGTAAGACTACACTACTATGTTTCACTAGATCATCTTTCAACAAAAAACATTGTTCTATCTTTTTCATATCGAGGAACAAAAATTACTGCCAGGCATTGTTTTTTTTAAAATTATGCCTCGGTTTTATTTGTGATGCACTCTGAAGCATTTATAAGTGGGGTGCGATACAAAAAAAAAAGGAAGGAAATAGATGAAAGGATAAATAATAGAAATCAACAAGAACAAGACGAATGTACGGAAACATGATGTAGGTCACAAATTTATCAAAATTTGATTGAAGAGAATGAACAATTAATAACACAGAAATTGAGTGTTAGTTTTTCTTTTTAACTATAGAGGAAGTTCATGAGAATGAAAATTATTAAGGACAAGAGTACATGTATCTTAATTTGACCTGCTCATTTATTATAACGGAATTCTAGCCAAACTCTTAAAACGAATTTATAGTGACCTAGATCTTTTTCATGCATAAAGATATTCAGTTCTTGAGCTGTTATTCATGGACAGTACTGAACTAATCTCAAGTCCATTCTAAACTTCTCCCGAAGGAGTTCTACTTGTGTTATCGGATGGAAAAGGAAAAGGTCTGACAGTCAAGCCAAAACTTGTGACGAATATTAGAAAAGGGATTGTTTTAAAAGTCCAATAGAGATTACTCTACCTGTTATGGAGAGTCTGGACCAATTTGTTTGTGAAACACTTGAGAAACCGATTTTGAGATGTTGATTCGTAGTTTCTTCTGCCTGTTAGCATAGTGAAATCGTGTATTACGCACTTTAGTGCTTTTCTTAGCAAGAGATGCAGCATCTGCGGATCTAATTACTTTTTTTTTTATTGAGGTTCTAATTAGCATATTTAGATCATGCGCGAATATGTGAGCCAAAAAATCCACAACCTACTGTTCGAGATCAAAATGAAATACTATAAACAGGCAGGAGTTTAAAGTACTTCTTTGTGATAGTATAATTAATATTGAAAATTTAGCAGCGTTAATATTGTCGTAGAGAACAAATGCTTTTCGTTGGAACAATTAAGATCAAATCATTTTCAACAGCTACTTTAGTATATTTAATTGACATAGTTTTACTATTGAAGCTATGTGCCATAGCCTGTTGTATACTTTTTGGGTAGTCAATGTATATAAACAGGATGGATAGATTGACGGTCAAGTTATGAAGTACCTGAAAAAAACTCTGGTTGGATTTAGACAGTTCGATCATGATTATTTTCTAGATCAAAATATTTAACACATGTTTATAGAGAATTGAACAAGAAATCATTTGGCAAAAACAAAAAATCAAATCTTAGCAAACACTCGTTATTTGATTGTTCAATGTTATTTGCTGAAGACATTTCATTGTCACTAAGTTGTTTTATTTTATTATTTTGATGACAAAAAGATGCTCATATAATTTAAACTTGTTGTATATTATTTGATGTAATTTCTGATGTTTCTTCAAATAATATATTTGACACTTGATGTACGACAATTGTGTTTTGATTGATAGCATCTATCTATTATCATATATTCTTCATCGAATTCATTTCGATTCTTGTTAAATCCATTAAATCTTTTTTGTTTTTTTTTCCAGAATTCATATTTGAACTCACTTATCGAAGAAAAGTCAAAGGCAATAAAATCATTAATCATTGCTACTGTTCTTAGAACAGAGAAGCAATATATGTCGATCAGAGGAGAAAGAGCAGAATGAAAGTGTCTAATCATCATATATGTGCCAGAAATTTTAAATAAACAGAACGGAAAGAAACAAAGATGTATGTATTATGACGAAGTCAAAAAAATTTTTTTTTGCCATGTCATACTAACAATGCAAATACTTATTTTAAATAGCTCGACAAGAATAAGAAGAAAATTACAGATCTAACTAATAAAATGCAATCTCCATATTTATCATTTATGAATTATGTTCTACAAAACAGTCGTCGTGGTGATATACAAAATGTAATTGATACTATTGATCAATATGGTTGGACTAAACAATGGTTAATGAATATTGGTGATCGAAAAGGAAAAATTCTTGATGATGCTATTCGTACAAGAAAACCAAAAACTGTTTTAGAACTTGGTATCATTTTTTTTTCTTTTAAAAATTTTTTAATAATCTATTTATTTTTATAGGTACTTTTCTTGGTTATAGTTCATTAAGAATGGCAGGTCAATTACCAAATGATGCATCAATTATTTCAATTGATATAAATTCTCAAACAGCAGAAATAGCTCATACTATTCATAAACATGCTGGTGTAGAAAATCGAATAAAAATTATTATTGGTTCAAGTGAAAATATTATTCCTCAATTGAATAAAATATATCATATTGATTCATTTGATTTTATTTTTATCGATCATGATGGTTCATTATATTTACCTGATTTTATGTTATTAGAACAATATGGTTTAATTAAATCTGGAACAATGATCGTAGCTGATAATGTTATCTATCCAGGTGCACCTAACTATTTAAATTATATTCGAAATAATCCAAATTACATAACAAAAATGTATGAATCAACTATTGAATATCGTGAAGATATACGTGATGGAGTAGAAGTATCTGTACGAAAATAATAATAATAATAATAATAATTGTAAATTCAAATTACATAAATAAAAATTTGATTACTAACATTATGTTTATTGAATAACTATATAAGAATAGCTTAAAATGGATTTACATGATTCACTGTCCATTGATTATTTCGCAGAAGGAAAATGAGTAGACATTGCGATAATCAAATATATTGTTAAAATAAAAATAAGAATTACAATAAAAAAAAAACTAAGAGAAATGACTGTTTTAATTTTTTGATGAATCTTGAAAATATCTCAATCCAGTAGTTGAATTAAACATGCATCTATTAGGATCTTATGTTTCTGATATCTCAGAACTGGAACTATCATATCATCTCGTATTTTTGCAAAATAAATCAATCGTAATGTAAATATTTGGATGTAGAGAATTTATGTTTTTTCATTCGAAATAGGATTTTTATTCTGACGACATATTGATTTGTTGCAATGTCTACTCATTTGTGTCTTTTGAAATAATCAACGGAAAGTAAATCATGTACACACTTTGAGGGAGTTCCCTTAAAAAATCGGATTTTTCAAAAACAATACCGAAGTTGAATTTTTATTACAGGAACATGCAGCGAAAATTCCTCTTTCAGAATACATAGGGCTTTTTGGAAAACGACTAGATTTTCAAAGACTTATCGCACGAAAGTGTGACTCTACTACGATATTTTCGTGGTTTTTTAAGTTTTTCAGTTTTGAAAAAACTGTATTGCTACTTGCATTATTCTTGAATAGAACATTTTTATATTAACTAGTATGTCAGATGGCGTTAGCTACCTTCATCTATTACATACTTTAAAACGATTCACTGGAATATATTAAAAATATCCTATTGTAATATGATTTGTTCTACTATTTGAATGAAAAAATCTATTTTTAAAAATTCTTTAGGGTTTTTCTCAAAATATGGTTTTTAGATAGGAAACTTGAAATAACTTCCACTCAGCTCGGGATATAATCGATATTCTTTTTTGTTTTAAAGATCTTAATCAGAATTAACTTTTCATCGGACGGATTTTTGATACTTAATTCCTGAACTGAGAAAAGTGAGATTTACTGTTCACCTTTTTTTATGCTTACGTTGAACACCATGTCCATTAAAATACTCATAAATAATGAATGAAAGGGAGTTTCGAAATTCCGTCCGATGAAAAATTGCGCACGGAGGCTAGCTTTAATTTGAAACCAGCCCAAGCTCTATACTCATTATAACAACGGATTTATTTCGATTCTCCTGAAAGGTAGGAAAACAAGCCGAAAATTCGGTCTAGCCAGGCTGAAGTTTTTACTACAAGCGTTTCTTACTAGGGCCAATCGTTCCTGAAAATTTTAGCCCAAATGGTCCGTTCTAAGTAGGAAATCAATTCTGAGTAGGACTCTTTAAATGAATAATATAGTCTGGAATTTGATCGATAATTCTGACAAATCTTATAATGTAGGTGAATTGTCTTTTATGCCACTCGTAAGTATTTAGTACAACTAAGAGTCTCTTGTGAATAATCATCCAATCGTATCTTCAGTATATTAAGAATTTTCAATAAAAATTCTATACATTGATAATGTTAACTATTTTTTTTTCTTTTGAAAAAATTAATTAAAATAATAATAATAGCAAATAGTATCAATCATTTAAAAATTTAATTTTTACAAATTTTTAAACAATTATTTTCATAAATTCCACAAAAAAAAAGAGAACACAATTTCTTTCTTCATATAAAGTCATCATTGTCACACATGACTGCGTTTTTCGGTTTGTATAACTGTTTTATATAGTGTTTTACTTATGCGGTGTATACATCGATAGAACATGTCATGTGACGACATAACTACTATTCTCAATGCATAGTGGTGTCACATTTTCTTTTTCCTTTTCAACCTTGTTTCATAGGCGTTCAAAAGTGACAAGAAAAGAAAGTTGATTCTTTTTTTTTCTTCTCCTCACAACCTTCTTCCTAGTAGAAATTATGTCAGAAGAAACAGCAATAACATCAGTTGATCAATTACCTATAATTCCTGAAACACAAATTATTGAACCAATTATTCAATGTGGTGTTTTGTATTTGGGTACAGCACCTCCAACTCCTGGTCATCGTGGTCTTGATTCAATTCAAGAACCATTTTCACGTCGATATCCTGTTGATGGAACAAATACAGTTCGAGGTATTTTGATTATAATTTCACAAAAAAGAGAAAAATGTATCTTTTTTTTTTGTTCTGTTTCAAAGGTATTGATGCTGTACTTTCTATTTATGATAATGGTATTCAATTGGCCTTGGCTCGTCAACCACATACAGTAATTTTCTATCCAATATCATCATTAATTTATTGTGCAAGTCTTCGTTTTTCTGTTATTGAACATGATCAAACATCATCAATTGATTGGCGTTTTACAACATTAGATCCAAAACGAAAAAATCGAAGCAAACATCCACCTTTATTTTGTTTTGTTGTACAACGTACACAAGTTTCATCAGGTGATGAATGTCATTGTTTTATAACAAAAGATGATGAATCAGCATTAGCACTTGTTCGAACAATATCAGAAATTTATGCAAATGTTAAATCGAATTTTAAACTTTTAAAATCACCTATTTTCTATCAGGTTAATGATTCTATTCTATTGATTTATGTTATAAAAGATTTTATTTGTCATATATATATATATTTGTTATTTTCTTATAGTTAGATCGTTATGGACGAAAACTAAGTGAAACAAATGGAATTATTTATATATCACCAGCTATCGATGATGAACATCAATCAAATCAAATTACAGATCTTAATGATTCTATATCATCATCAATAAATCGAAATTATTTATTAGATCCATCATCTGATGGATTTTTTTATCGTACAAATGCAAGTATTATTGAACAATGGCAATTATGGGATGATATTGATGTAAATAAATCTCGTCCCCGTCCACCAAATTCACCATTTGGATTACATCAAGGTCTTTATCATGATGATTTATCACAAGAAATGCATCAATATTTAAATCATATGGATAATGATAAAGAAAGTTCAAGTTCTTGTAGTTGTTCAAGTTCATCAAGTTCAATAATGAAATATGATCGACATCATCGTAAAGAATTATACGTTAGACATGATGTAGATCAATCGAATACAACAAGTTCTCATTCACAAACAAGTTCATTTGATCCATATTCAGTACATAATAATATGGAAATCAAAAGATTACAACAAGCACCGATTGTTATTGAAAAAGTTCTTCCTAATCCAATGATAATGATGCCTGAAAAACGTTCAAAATATATCTTAGAACAATCTCAAGAATCATTTGATTATTCTACTCCTATACAACAAGAAATACACATTGATTATATTCCAGTTGGTGATGCTTATCAAATAAATCGACGAGGTGAAAAAATTACAAAAGAAGGAAATCGTATTATGTTTATGGATGTTATTCAATCCAATCTAACAACAACTAATAATATTGAATCAAAATCGAATACACCACCAAAATCTGATATAACTCCAAAAGCTCGTTCTCATCGACGACGAACAACACAAATACCAGTTATTGATCTTCAATATATTCAAAATTTATGTAATGAAAGAAAATTTAAACAACGTCAAACAAGTATTGATAGTGATGAAAAACCAATAGATGATTATCATTTAACAACATCGGATATGTTAGAAATAGTTGAAGAATATTTTGAAGATTATAAAGGAAGAGAAATTAAATTAAATAATCGTGATACACCAACAATGCTTAATCATTTAGAATTATTAAATAAAAATGAACATCAAGAAGAAAATAATTCGATTAATAAAACTTATCATCATCGTCGTCGTCAAAATCATTCAAAATTAATTTCTGATCCACCACTTAATTATGTCGAACGATCTTCTATTAAACCTAGATCCAAACAAACATTGACTGATTCAAAACGATCTAATCCACATGTACTTAATAATGAACATGTATCAAATATTTATGGAACATCTAAAAAGAAATCTCGATCAATAAAATCATCTACATTATCAACAAAACATCATGAATCTCAAATATCTAATGATACCAATACTGTTGATATAACAAATTCAGATTATATCTCACCATTTCGATATGCACAAAGTACTATTAATCCATTATTACTACGTGAATATCGTAAAACTTTTAATGGAATTTAACATTAAACATTTTATTAAAAAAAAAAAAAACTTCTTTGTTTTTTTTTCTCTCTGAAGTCAATATAAAAAAAAAAAAGAAAACAAATATTCTAAAGTAATTCAAATTCTTCTGATGGAGTTAAATAAAAAGAAATTTTTCGTGATAATTTATTCATTGGAATTGTATAAATATCATATTTAGTCGAAGTTGGTATTGATGATGAATGATTTTTTTGAATATTAATCTTTCTCATCGATGATGTCGGCGTCAAAATTTGTTTATTTCTTCGTTGAATTTGTTGTAATTGTTTGATTTTTTGATTTTTTATTGAAGTACGATGATGAAAAATTCGATTACATATCCATTGTTGCATACGTGAAGTATCAGATTGATCAATATGACGACGAAATAATTTACTTACAAATTGATCATGATGTTGGTTTTTTAATGATTCTCTTGAAAGTATACTTGAATTTTGATATTGTTGTTCTTGATTTTCTTCATAGGATTTATTTTTATTATTATCATTAGATAATTGTTTATGTTTTCTTATTCGTTGTACTTTTATTGATTGAACAATAATACCAATAATTAGAAAAAGAACAATACTAATAACTAATGTAATAAATAATTGTGTTGAACCTTGTTTAAATGATCTATGTAATAATTCACCTCGTCGAATAAATATACAACCATTACGTGGTGAATAAATATATGATTTAGAATAAGATTGAAAATCAATACAAATTTCATATTGACCAATATCAAGATTTAATATATGTAAACTATTATTTAAATCAATAAGTTGTGTAAAATTAGTTAAAATATGAATATTAGTAGTTGATAAAGATACTTCATCGATAGATCGTAATGTAAAACGATATGCATGAAATATATTCAATAGAGATTGTTCGATTGTAAACCAAATGAAAATAGAACGATCTCGATAATTATTTATATAACATACACGTAAATTATTAGTAATTATTGATTGAAAATGATTTTTAACACAGATTTCTTCACGATCTTTTGCACGTTGTTTATGAATTATTAAACTTGTTGTTAACAATAAAAAATTACTACCGATAAGAATGATTAATAGATGATTGTACATGATTATGAATTTAATCTTTCTCGCACAATTGATTTGAAAGAATAAGAATAGAATATTTTATAAGAACAATGATTTAAGAATTATTTCATTATATCTATACGTAAGTTATCCGTATTTGCATATCAATAAGGATACAAATGATAATCGAACAATAGAATGAATAGAGAAAGATTTGTATTGTATTATATAAAGCTTATAGATTTTATCCTTGAAATGAATATGTCAAGAGAACAAGAGATTCATGATTAAATCACATTTGAATATAATGCATTAAACGATAGATCAATTTACATAGTAGAAACTTTAAATTTTTTTTTTTTTAAAGAAAACTTACAATGAACAAGAAATTTCACAACTACATAATCACTAATTTTGTATAATGAACAATTCTTTCTATTTTACAATTGAATATCTGTTGTGTATTTTTTTTAATAATAAATTTCTAAAGAAATATTTAATTTTCTTTATTTCGATCTCATAAAATAATAGTACATTAAAACATAGAAAAAGAAAAATAAATTATTCTATGAATTACAAATAATCATGCACAAAAACAAAAATTAAATAGACATTATTTTTTAATTCATAATTCTTTGTAATCTTTTACTAATAAACAAAAAAATAAAAATAAAAATAAAAATTATCCAGATATATTCATGACTTTAAATTACAATCGACTTATAACAAGAGTCGTTAGTTCCTTTTGTTTCATTGCATTTTACTATTAATCTTAAATTCCTTCTTTTTTTTTTTTAATCTACAGTTTGAACGAATCTTTTTCAACACATTTAAACAAATATTCAATCTCACAGGAGAAATTAATAACTGAAAATGAAAATCCATCACCATTCAACAAAATCAGCAAATCATAGAGAACAAATTAGATAAGTCGTTAAAATAGTTTCTTTCCTGTTATCCGTTATCTTATGTCTACTTTTTGTACATGAAAGTGTATAAATGTTCTGCTAAGTATTCTACAAAAAGTACCGAATATGATTACTTACATCATTTCCCATGAGTAAAGCTATAGACAAAATTCGTTAGAGTACACGAAGTTACTCGAGTATTCGCTCGTGTAATTTGAATATTGATGCGAACAAGTCGCATTCTTTTTTTTTTTTTTTGAGTATTTTCACTAGGGATTTGATTCTATGGTGTATATCAATAGTTGAAGAAAAAAGATAATATAATAATTTTGATTTAATGTATGTCTTGTTTTTTTTTGTTGTCAAACTATCTTATCCTGCAATAAGATCGTTGAAGTTTAGTTATATGATTTCACATCTATATGTTATCGAATATCTTTAGCTTATTTTCTAACTCATATTTCATAATTGAGTAACAATCAATTATAGATCTTAATTCAATATAGCTTATAATAGGCACTATTGAATTACAACACATGTATATGGCGAGAATGTCAAAAAGCCGACAAACAAACTAATCTCTTTTTTTTTGATCAGTTATATATTTCTAGAACAAAAAAATGATATACAGTTAAATAATGATCTTCCCTCATAGGGATAATACAAATGTAATAGCATAAAAATATTAATCATTGTGTTGTCTCGACATATAAGCAGAAGGATCTGATATTTTGTAATCATCATCGAGAAAATTGCTTATACATAAATTTTTCATGTCAAATATTGATAAACAAGACGATGTATAAGACTCAAGTAAAACACTTTCGTAGTAAATTTAAACTCTTTTTTTTTAAGAATGTTTTCTTTTTTAAAGTCATCTAGTAATTGATAATATCTTGTTGAAAACTAATTTCGTATATATTTTTAGATTCTTTTCCCTGATGACATAATCTGCCAGTTGTAAATTTAATATATGAATGCATCTTGTTCTTGTTTGTTGTGTGACATGCATAAACCATTTCTAGTACGAAAAAGATAGCAATCTTCTAACTTATTATTAAAAGTATTATATTTCTTTTATTCATCTATCGAAAAAAACACGTAACGATTCATATTTTTATCATATATTCTACTATTAATAAAATTTTACTATTAATTTGTTCTCTTTAGAGTGAACTAATTGGTCATTACGATACAATTTTTAGTGTCAAAAATAATAGGAAAAACAAAGAAATTTCTTATCATAAGAATTATACGACAAGAAAAATATAGATGTTTGAAATGTTGTAAAGACTTTTTTCTGACAGTTGATGAGTTATCAACATAATTATGTGACCTTGTGTGAGTTACCAAAGAAATAAAAATTTTATTGTTTTCGATAATCTTGACTTTATCCATTTAAACGATTCTTTGCTTCTTTTTATTCTACACTCAAAGAATAAAAAATTTTATTTTACCATGACATCAATAATGCAGTTGTTACAATGACATATAACTATTAAATTTTGTAATAGTTCTTCATTCGATTCATGATTTTTGCTGTATACGTAAAACCTCATTTATCATTGAAAACCATTTAAGAACATACAAAAAAAAAAATGTAGATTTACACGAATCTATATTCAATGCACATTTTCATGATGATAATCATGTCTACCAAAATCAACAAAAGATCTTTCAGAATACAACGTTTTATATAAACTATGGATGCATTGTGATTACTGGCAGATTGCGTTTTTATTCTTACAGAATAATTAATTCAAAAATGTGACATTTTTTTGTTTCATATCACGAAATATACTATAAAATGAGATTTAAGAATGTTCTCGTATTGTTTTATCTGGTTTTTTTTATTATCTTGTTGAAGATGACTTTCAATGACGAGAGAACAAAGTTATTTCTACGAACAATAAAAGCTTAGCAAAAAAAAAGAGATAGTCAATTTTTCTCTCTTTTTTTTCCCGACCAATCCGTCTTGTTTTAACAATACTTATGATGAATAGTCGAAAGCCAACATGATGATAATGAATGTTATGCATTGCTTTCTTTTTTCTTCTTTTATTCATTCGAGTCGGAAGTTTTTATTTTGTTTTATTCATACAAACAAAAATTAGCAATGTATGCTGATTTCTTTTTTTTTTCTTTATCTGCCTACTTAGCAAGATTCTCATCAAGACAATAAGAAGAAAAATGATTTTCCTATCTTATTTGAGACATATATAAATATGTAGTAGAGATATATCTGATAGTATTGGCATTTTTTTCTTTTCTCTTCAATTGTTTGTGCTATCGTTCGTATGTTGACAATAAATAGATTAAATAGTTCATTTTTGTTTTTGTTTTTTTTTATTCAATAAAACTTATTTCAGAAAACAATTTAATAACACAAGTTTACATTTAATGTCAGCAGTGTTTGCATCAAACCGAATTTCATTAGTCATGGTTCAAATCAGTCTTCTTATATTGGGCATGATCGGTTAGTATAAATATAAATTTTTTAGCTTTTTTTTATTGATCTTTTGTCAATATGTGAAAAGAAAAAAAATGACTTCCCGTCAAAAAAGTACTTATATAATTCTGAAATAACATATTCATTTCTTGCATCAATTAACTCGTCATATTGATTTTGTTAATAGACCATTTAGAAAATTGTTATACGTCTTAAGCAATAGAGAAAATAAAATTCTCTTGTGAATAAGATCATTATCACGATATTGACAATCGGAAAAAAAAAACAAAAAAGATCTTTTACATTTTTTATACATCCTGTTGTTTTCTTATGTCAAAAGAAAATGTCTACATATTTTCTTTTTCAATAGATTGATTGGAAAAAGAAAAGAACTTCTATAGACATATATTCGATTTGTCTACTCGAAATTTAATGAGATTCATTGTATAATATAATCATATCGAATTGTATGAATGTTATTCATCGAAGTTTTTTTTGCTATATAGAGTTTTTCTTTTCTCATTTATAAAAAAAAACTAGTGATTATTTATATAATATTTTATGTCTTATGAATCTTCGTATATTTTCGTTTTAAGTAGAAAATAATGAGATATAGACATTTTTTTATGATAAGATTAACGGAGATATTAATCGCTACGGCATTCATTCTTGGCATTTATATTATCACTTGATTAAACGGCATCAAATAAATATGCGAAAAGCGTAGTATTGAGAGTTTTTAATATGAGATCGCAATGAATCATCATTTTATGAAGTTAAGCTTCTATTTATATTATAGTCTTTGCTTTATTAAGTAATAAAATCTATCGAACAGAAAGCATGGGAAATTATTTTTAGGCTTATTAAAATTTTCAGATTAAGAAATAACTTTTCATTGCTTTCTTCAGTTCTTTTTTTATTTTTCATTTTATCTAACATGAAAACAAAATGTACTATAAATTATATTGTATAAGTCTAATATTCACTAAAAATTTTCACTTCAATAAAATATTTTGAATATATCAGATAATCAACATTGTGTATAAAGTGTTTGAAAACGTAGTAAACAAAACAAAGACATGCAAGGTTAATTTTTCATAATTTCTAAATTAGTCTACATCAATAACTAATTATAATAGTAAATTCATAGTTTGAATAAGATGCACTTGTTTTTAAGTTGTCTGGTCTATCCAATAGTGTTTGTCATCTTGACAAATATTCTATTCGAGGGAAAAAAAATCGATGTCACTTCATCAATTTGCCTAAGGCTATTTTAGATTAAATATACGCAAAATATTTTCATATATATATAGATATTCTTGAAATTTTAAATTTATTATTTTTTGTTCTTTAGTTATCGGCACTTGGGCAGGACCATCAATTGACGAACGTCAAGAAATTTATCTTGACACATGTCAAATGAGTTGTGGTTCAGTGAGCAATAATGACGAAGCAGAAGAATGTCGTGAAAAATTTTGTCCTACTTATGTTACTTATTTATTAACAGGTTTAACTGACATAAATTCCAAACCTAGTCTTGCATCAACTCATTCAAAAGAAGTAGTAGATTTTTGTGCTACATGGATTGTTCGTTTAATTGATCAATTGGGTTGGCAAAATCGTATTCAACTTAGTCTTAATGATTGTATTTGTGCTGCTGGCAAAGATTGTATTGTCAAATAAAATATTCAAGCAAAACAAAAGAAACTATTTCATAAACAGAAAATAAAATTTTTGTCATTCATCCTAATTATTTTCCTTCTATGAGTTGAATAATGTTTAAATAAAGAAAAAAATTATCATAGTCATATTGCGACATCTGAGATATAGATAGTTTGTTTTTTTTTGTGTTGTCTACCAATTAACAAATGAACCGTTGTTATGGTGATTCATCATATATATATATATATATGTGCAACTTTGTCTTAGAACTTTTATTCATTTTTAGAAGTGACTATTCAAACAATCAAAGATGAAAATTGAAGAAGTAAAGAGTACAACGAAAACACAACGTATATCAGCGCATAGTCATATTAAAGGATTAGGTTTGGATAATGATCAACGAGCTATACGTAATGCTGGTGGTCTTGTTGGTCAAGAACAAGCGCGTGAAGTTAGTTCTTTTGTGATATGTTTTTTGTTTTTTCTTTAAAATCGAATATTAATTTATTTCATAGGCAGCAGGCATTGTTGTTGAATTAATTCGTCGAAAGAAAATGGCTGGTAGAGCTGTTCTACTTGCTGGGCCACCTGGAACAGGAAAAAGTATGTTTCATAGAAAATTTCTCAATATTATGTAGAATAGAAACTTTTCAAATATTCATTTTCTTTGGACTATAGATTTTAATAATCTTTGAAACAATAAATTCTTTCGATTGAGATCTTTATCGTTAGAAATTTTCAACTCTTCTATGCACTTGTTGCAGACGAGGATATGTATTGTAATGCCTCAATATCATAGCATATCGCTTACTTAGAATAAGACTTATATAATGCACATAGCCTAGATTTCAAGAAAAAACAAACACTTTTAATTTTTTTTTTATCTTATATTAGCTGCTCTTGCTTTGGCCGTTGCACATGAACTTGGTTCTCGTGTTCCATTTTGTCCAATGGTTGGTAGTGAAGTTTATTCAACAGAAATAAAAAAAACTGAAGTATTAATGGAAAATTTTCGTCGTGCTATTGGATTACGAATTAAAGAAATTAAAGAAGTTTATGAAGGTGAAATAACAGAAATGACACCTACAGAAACTGAAAATAGTTATGGTGGTAAGTTATCAAAAGAAAAACAAATATTTCTCTTTCATAAAATTCTCTAGGTTATGGTAAAACTGTTAGTCATGTTGTTATTGGTTTACGTACAGTTAAAGGTGCAAAACAACTTAAACTTGATCCATCAATTTATGAAACATTACAAAAAGAAAAAGTTGAAATAGGTGATGTTATTTATATTGAAGCAAATTCAGGAGCTGTTAAAGTATGTTTAAAAAATAATTTTTTTAAAAATAAGAATTTTTTTTTTGTTCTAGAGACAAGGTCGATGTGATGCTTATGCAACAGAATATGATCTTGAAACTGAAGAATATGTTCCATTACCAAAAGGTGATGTTCATAAGAAAAAAGAAGTTGTACAAGATGTAACATTACATGATTTGGATGTTGCTAATGCACGACCACAAGGTGGACAAGATATTCTATCTATTATGGGTTCATTAATAAAACCTAAAAAAACTGAAATTACTGGTAAAAAAATTTCGTTTTTTTTTTCTTCTAAATGAAGAAAAGAAAATTAATTTTTTTGAAAATTTTAAGATAAACTTCGTCGAGAAATAAATAAAGTTGTTAATAAATATATTGATCAAGGTATAGCTGAACTTGTACCTGGTGTTTTATTTATTGATGAAGTTCATATGTTGGATATTGAATGTTTTACTTATTTACATCGAGCATTAGAAAGTCCACTTGCACCAATTGTTATTTTTGCAACAAATCGAGGACGTTGTCAAATACGGTATGAAATTATTATTATTTTTTTTTTTATTAAATAAAATTAAAATTTTCTATATTATATAGAGGTACAGATATTCTTTCTCCACATGGTATGCCATTAGATTTACTTGATCGAATTATGATTATACGTACACTTCCATATGGAATGGAAGATATGATTGAAGTAAATTTTTTCTTTTAAATATTTGAAAATTTTATTTATTTTTTTTGATTAGATTCTTCGAATACGTGCAAAAGTTGAACATATTGATATAACAGATGATTCTTTACAAGCACTTTCTGAAATTGGAAATACATCAACACTAAGGTACGATAAAAAAGTTTTCTTTTATGGCAAAAAACTTTTTTGATGTTTAGATATGCTGTACAATTAATGACACCAGCAAATATTCTTGCTCGTATAAATGGTAAAGATCAAATAGAAAAAGAAGAAATTGATGAAGTACGAGATTTATTTCTTGATGCTAAATCATCAGCACTTTTACTTAAACAAGAAGATGCAAAATATATGAAATAATAAAACAAAACAAAAAACATATTTATCTAATGTTAGACATTATTTAAAAAATAATTTGTTGAAAAAAATAAAATAAAAAGTTTTGACAAAACAATAGCAATTGTTGATGATATAAATGATATCAATGGTGATAATAATTGAGAAGCTAAAAGAAAAACTTTTTACGTAGAGAAAATAAATAATGAACAAAAACAAAATTGATCTACCATTAAGTGCTTGTGCATGACAAAGTATTGTAAATATAAAACAAATTAGAACAGCATAATAATCACGTTGATCAGGACTCCATATAAGTAATGGTAAGACAAATAATTGACCAATACTTGAAAGAACAAGTGCACGAAAGAGAAGAATTGATCTAGAAAACAACCAAATGTATATGTGAAAATTCTTTATTCTTTATATTTTCAAATTAAAATATTGAAAATTTAGATTTAATAAATGTCAAACAAAAACTCCTACAAATTTGAATGATCAATTGATTAACATGATTGATGATCATTTTTTCATTCGACCTTTATACGGTCAACCGACAAAAACTAATTCTGAATATCGAAAATTTTCAAAAATCGATGATCTATTTTTATGTCTCAGTAGCAGCTCAGTCGATCAACTTACAACTTTAATTATTATAGATTGAAAAATGTGTATCATAATTCTTCGACATTTTACCTCTCGAACTGTAGTTTCTGTGTAAATACAAATTCACACATATACTTGTGTCAGATTTATTTAATCTTTCAAATCTGTCTTCATCACAAACGTAAATTCTCGCATTGCAATGATTAACAAGATTTATAAGTTTTTGAAGCTGCTGTCAAATACTGAATTCATATATATATATGTATATATAGTGGGTCTTAAAATTATTCAACCAGGTGTAATTTGGATTGAGAATATTGTTGCCAACAAGAATTCAAGAAAACCAAAATCCTGGTTTTTCAACATCCAGAAGCCTTGTTTTAACAGTCTGGAATTATAGAGCAGCCAATTCTCTACAAAGTGAGACGTCTCCGAGCTTCCCTTCAAAAGTTCTAAGCGTCACAAAAATCGAAAAAAAGTGAAATTTATGAGAAAAGCGACTGGAAACCGCATTTTTGCGACGCTTAGAACTTTTGAAGGGAAGCTCGAGGACGTCTCATTTTGTAGAGAATTGGCTGCTCTATAATTCTAGACTGTTAAAACATGGCTTCTGGATGTTGAAAAAACAGGGTTTTAGTTTTCTAGAAATCCTATTTTAGGAAAACTGATGACAGTTTTCATTTTCTCGAATTCTTGTTGGCAACAATATTCTCTATTCAAATCACTATTTGGATTCTTTCTAGCACTTAAGGCTACGAAAAAACAAAATCCAAATTACACCTGGTTGAATAATTTTGAGACCCAATGTATATAGCTATGATAGTACATTTCATTGTATAAAGGTAAATAACCATCAAACTTAATATAAAAAATTTATTCTTGAATTTTTTTTGTATGAAATTGTTTTTGTTTTAACTCATACATACTTTTCTTTGGTCCATTTTTGTCCACATTGAAGAATTGCTATGAATAATATAAATCCAAATCGTATTGTATATTCTATAACAAAAAACAAACATAAGTAAAATCTTCTGATATAAAAAGATAATTATATAATTTCTTACCAAGAAATGATTCGATTAATTTCAAATAAAAACCATATTCAAGAGCAAAGAAAATATGATGATCATGATTAATAATCGATTGAAATTGATCATTTTTAAGATGAAACCATTTAACATATGCATTAGCAAGAATAAATGCACAAGATAATTTAATAATATGCTATAAAAAAAAAAACTCCGAGTTTACTCCGATTCTATCAGAATTTTCTTCTTTTTTTTTTAGTTGAAAACGTTTCATACATTATATTTAATTTTATCAATATTAAATAAAACATGTCGATGTGCTCGTAATTTAAGTAAAACAAAATCAATAAATACAAGTAAATCATCTAATTCAATATAAGGATCAACAGGATTTTGACATTGTTTCTAGAATTTTATAAATAGTAAGTTTAATTTTTAAATTATATTCTCTTACACAATGAATAATTTTAATAACACCTTCTTTATAATGATGTGAAAGTTCATCATTTGCTGTACCACATGTAACACAACAACATTTTATTTTCGACTGCTCTTCGATAGTTTTAAGAGCTTGAGCCATATGTTTTTTTTTAATGCAAGTTCAACGAAAAAAGAAAATCAATTAATAAACGTATCTTTTTTGGTTGCATACGATGATAAGACTAACGAATGCATCATTCTTTAGACAGATGACGCCATTTATCGGTTACTAAAGACTAACTGATTAATACTTCCACCCAAGAATTAACTACATTGACAATGAATGTCTTCTGTGACGAGAAAAAATGAATTCTATGGGATTTTAAGAATGGTTTATTGCATTAGTATCTACTGTAAAGCTCACCGAGTGCAAAGTTTTTCGATTCGCATCCGTAATTTAATCAAGAAATGAAGTTCATAATTTTGAGAAACCAATTACAGATTTGGATTCCCCGACCCCACTAATCTTTAGTGAAACTTTATAAAAAATCACTTTTTTCTTAAAAAACTGTTTTTTAATGCAAAAATTTCTACTTTAACTTTGATTTTTTTAAAGTTAAAGTGTCACCCTAATCGGGACATCGTTTTTTTCTGTCAATGTATGGTCAAAAACAAACTCGCGCAATAAGTTATGCACAATCGATAGAATCACTCTGGATATGATCTCTTGCATTCTCGATATTTATAAGGGAAAATTAATTGAACCATAACAATTAACAATAAACAGAATATTTTAACATAATTTATACCAATTGACATTTTTCTCTGTCATGATAGTGAGAATATCCTTACCTCATTGAAAAGTGTGAGTAGGTGATAGTCTATATCGATCTCTCTTGATGAATTTTCCATAATTCAAAATATGTACAACATCGTCAGTAATATCATTCGATGATCCATTGGCCTAAAGATCGGTGATTAATTATTCTGGTTCTCGTTTGAAATTTTTAGAAAGAATATCTTTGCTAATATTTTTTCTTTCATCCTCTTATGCGAACAATCACATCTTGACACACACGATGACGAGATGTAAAAGAAAAGACAGAAGAAATACATTGTAATATGACGAAATGATGACATTGCACTAGATGGAATCTCATGAATATTAACACAGGTGCAACATTCCAAAGATATTCATCAATTATCGTATCACAATAGATTTTGATGCTTGTTTGTTATTTATAAAGAATAGAAACAAGCAGAATGGATGCACTGTTGTCAATTGCATTGAAAATTTTAGAAGAAAACCAATCAATAGTACATCCAACAGCCAATAGTTTTCTATGCTGTTCGAGAGAGTGAACATCTGAATACGAACTTTTTGAATACTGAAAATAGTTTACAAAAATTTTCAAAAGAATATCTTAATTCAAATTTATCTTAAAGCATAATCAAAATGAACTAATCAATTCAATCGTATCACTTTCCATTTCTGATCTAATCCATTATCAAATGTTCGTTGTACTATTTGTGCATCTGCTTGTGTAGAACCATTGATAATTGAAGCTACTTTTTGTGACCAAACATTGACGAATGATACAGTCTGATCATCATGTTCCATGATACGCCAAATTTGATTTTCTTTTAAATTAAATTTATATTGTATAATTTTTGCATTATCATCTGTTTGCCAATCATGAACATCGACAACTTTACGACTATGAACATTGATTATTTTATAATAACTATTGCCAATATAATTTATATCCCATTGTTGCCATGCAACACCTGTATAATTATTTTGTACGATTAATGCCCGATCTTGTGTTTGACCAGATTTAACTTCAAATGATAAATTAGATTTAAGATTGATCATTGTATAGCGACCGTCGTATTTTGGTGACCACATTTCTACACTATCAATTAATAGACTTTGTGGATAATCGGTAGTGTTTGATGATGGTATCGATGGTGATCGACCACCGACACCCAATGCTAAAATTAATCTCATTTCAGTTATTTGTGTCAATTCAGTTGATTGAACAAATGATCTTAATGTAATATTATCGTAGAAAAATGTCACTTTGTCATAACCCCAATCGATTGAATACGAATGCATATCTTTGCTATTATCGGTCAATGAACGTGCAGTTCCACTGACTGAAGCACGTGATCCGGATGGAGATGTATATTGAAAGGAGTAACCAACATTTTTTCGATCATCAAATATGTCCATAGTCAACATAGGTAATGTTTGATCAGTTGGGACGAGCACTATCATTGGCCAAGTACTTGTTACTGGTGGAACTTGCATACGTACAACAACTAAACCACGAGTTAAACTGATACGACTGTTCGTATAGATGGCACCCGATGTATAATCTAGATCGACAAGACCATAATCAGCTGTATCAATATTCATTGTACTTGTCGATCGCATGGCAAGAGCTGTTAAGTTGACTTGATTATTTGATATAGTTACTAGACGACGGTCCATATTTGCTCGATGATTATAAATTGTTCCCCATGGATAATTGGGACTCCATATGGACCCATTGAGCCTAGGTCCACTGTCAAATGAATCTTCAAAGATTAGTGTAAGACCATCTCGACCAATGCCCAATGCATTCTGAAGGTTGAAAACGATAAGCACAATAACCAAACATGTTGACAAACCCCCAACGAACATTTTCTCTAATTCAAATCAGTGCTCTTTTTTACCACTGTATATACTGGTTTACTGATGTTTTGTGAGAAAATAAATCACATGGCAATCAGAATAAGTGAATATATGTTGATCTAGTGTGGCTCTTCTATGCACACAATGACGCACGTGTTTTGTTTTAAAAACTGTTTTTGTCATCATTAGTGCACATTTTCAAATAGCTAACCTGTCACATAAAATCTTGATATCCTGCATATCAACTAGATGCCTAATCAATAGTATTTTGTGAGTTTGATGATCAGTTTCGCCGTAGACAATGCGATATATCCAATTTTTTTTTATCTACTTTGAAAGTTAACGGACGTTGAACGAAGTACTACAGAAATAATAGGTAATCGTTCGTTTAACACATTCAAAGTGATGTGGATGGGTGTGTGTGAAAAAAGAGAATATACACATCTATACCCACACCCTTAAACAGCATTCAAATTAATGATTCATTTTATTTGGGTATTTGTTAGTAAGGGTACTAGGGAGAAAAATGGCTTTTTAGATTAACTACTGCGTTCGTCGTTCTTTTTCTCTAACTGCTGGGTGAGACCGAGCGGATGCCTTGATTGTCGATGACAAAAAGCCAGTCTGGCTCAATGATACGTACACCATCAAACGGTTCCTTTAATTGCATTTGTCGGCCATCAGCTAATGTGGCTTCGATAGTTTGGATTGGTGAGTTAAATTCACATCCATCAAAGCTGGCAACTCTACATTCTGCTCGATGCGTTTGACCACGAGATAAAGTCGCTTCATGTTGATGAGGACTACTGTTTTCGGATTCGCCCACATGTTTGAGGTAGGTCACACGAACTTGAACATCACCATCTGAATCGTTTCGAATGGCGCAGCTCTTAATAAATTTTGGAGCTGAAACGCCGCCTCGAGTGCACATCGTCGTCTACTATTAGAGTTACTTATTGATGCAATAAAATGATCGATAGAAATGTATTGCTTTCAAACGATGCACGTTATGCTAAAATATAAATACTTCAACCATGACTGCTTGCGAGAGAGGAGCGATGAAAAGTATGAATGTGACTAAACATACCATTATTTAGCGAGTTACTGCTAAGATGAAGAACGAAAAAAAAATCTGCGTCACTTGCACAAAGACAACGCAAGAAATAACAAAAAACGAATGATGAGAAAAAAGCACATGGAAGGAACATACTCGAGTCCAAGGAGGAAACATAGTATTTCGTACTTTACCTACTTTAAGATATGTCAAGGTACGTTAACGTGATTTAACAAACTTTCCCATATGTTAACATACTTTAAAGAACTTTAACATAATTTAATGAAATTCGAGTACTTCAATGCACTTCTTTTGATTTTTCTATTTCCGCACTATTGAAGCCTTTAATTGAACCATTCAACAATATGAAAACAATATACACTAGTTTTCAACAATGTATTTTTTTTTTCATTAATAATCATAGATCAAAAGTGCAATCTTTATACAACAATATAGCATTCCCGGCGGAACAAAATTATGGCAGGGAAGTTATCCGTATAGCACTGCACTTTGATTTCTCTTTATAAAAAAAATCATCCACCTAATCATTTCTTTTAATTTTAGATAAATTCAAGCACCGCTTCTAATCCGATGAGTTATTCTTTTTTTTTTTAATAAATGTTTTTCTTTGAGTTTTAGTCATCAATCTCATTCATCCAATGATAAATAAGTGAGTTGTTTTATTTTTTAGGGTGAAGTACGTATAGAGTTGAGTGGATGAGTGATCTCTTTTGAGATTCTTCGTGTAAGTCCCCTTTTTTCGAAGACCTTTAAAGCTCAGACAGGAATCATCTTGGTGTCCGTGGCATACGATCGAACATTCTCAAACACATATACATAAAATGTGTATATGCGTTTGTCTCGGGGTGTGCATGGCTTCCTGATTGTCACAGTACCATCAAGATAGTTCCTGATTGCACGACTGCGCGAATATACTAGGCATAAAATTCCTTCCGTGCTTTGAATAACTATTCGTTCTTTATTTATCGTCATTTATATGATACAAAGAAAAAAAATAAAACATTATAATGAGTCTATTCGATAGGAAATCGTTGAACACGATTATTCCTCATATCGACGACATAGAGTTGGCCAAGTCTGTCACAGGATAAACCCTCGGGACCGTTAAACTGATTAGCTCGCTCTCCTTCACCATTTCCACCTACAATGATAGTGCCCTGATTCACTTCTGTAGGCCAACGCATCACTCGATCATTCCCCAAGTCTGCTACATAGATGGTACCCAATGTATCGACGAACAGTCCACTAGGATTCGATAATTGTGTCAAAGCCTTTCCTTGACCTTGACCTCCGACGACGACAATTCCTTCTGTTGCACCTTTATTCCATTTCATCACACGATAATTTTCGTTGTCGGACACGTAGACAGCCTGTTGTCGATCGACGAAGAGGTAGGTCGGAAAGTTCAGTTGATTGAGATCATTACCTAGACCATGACCACCAGCCACAAGAGTTCCATTGTTGTCTCCTATTCGATATCGTCTTACTTCATGGTTTTCGGTGTCAGAGATGTAGAGATATCTCTGATTATCTATAGCCAAACCAAAACAACTGATGTTGTTGAGAAGGATCTCTCCTTGTGTGGTGTAAATACGACGAGACCATCGTACGACTCGTCGATTCTGTCGATCGCAGATAATGAGACCATTCGTCTCTTTGTCGACCAAAACATCGGTTGGATAATTCAATTGATCCAATCGATTTCCTGCGCCATGGCCACCAGCTACCACTTGTCCATGCGTATCGTCCATCTTCCATTGAATGATACGATGATTCCATGTGTCAGCGATGACCATCGTTTGATCATCATCAATGAAGACACCAAAGGGTTCGTGGAGTTGATTGGTGGCATCACCTGCTCCATGACCACCAGCAACGGTCACTCCGTCCTGTACCCATTGAGCATTTGCCTGAATATTGGACATCACTACAATGAACGAAAAATGAAAAAGAATCATCACCATTGTCACAGAGACTTCTTGAAAGAAATTTGTTATCTCCTTCAAGAAAGCCCTTGCAAGTATCCTTCCCTAGCAAACTCTAAACAAAAAAATGTTTCATATGAAACCTAAAAAGATTCTTCTCACGGATATAAATTCAGAAACCTTTTTGGCTTTCTGTAAAAACAAAGTGTTGAATAAACGATTTTGTACAGATTCATGCATGTGTGCCACTCCATCATTGCAAATATGACTATCATACTTACCAGAGACCGAAATTTTGTTTATAAATGGTGTAGAATGTTGTTGAATTGAAATATTTGATGGTTGATCAAGTTCTTTTTCTAGTTTCTCTAATTCCATTTTCAATTGGTTTAAATGAAATTCATTAAAATCATTTTCTCGACGAATTTGTTTCAAATCTGTAATGAACTTATTCAATTCCTTTTCTATTTCCATAATATTGTCATCCGTGTGTTTAATTAATATTTGCCTACATTCTTCTGCTATTTGTTTAATTCTCTTCATTGAATTGTCTTCCCATTCATTAACTTGTTGTATTAGTAGACGTTGATTTTGATCTCCTTTTTGTTCAATAAGTTTTTGACGAAATTCATCACAATCAGTGAGAATTTTGTCTAATTCTTTGCCATGTTGTTGTTGATGTTCTGTTAAATCCGTCAAACAAAATTTTTGTGAACATCCTTCGCATAGATAAACGATTTTATTTTTATTACATTCAAAACATTTCGCTTTGCCATTTGTTGTGGCCGTTGCCATGTATTGAATATGATGAAAACAAGAATTTATGTACGCTTGAGATTGTCAACGAAGAATTTGAAAAAAATGTGACTATAGGTCGCAAATGCGTAAACATAAAAAGAAGGTGAGTCAATGTCAACAGATTGCAGTAGAAAATAGCAGAATGAAAAAATCTTTTTTTTAAATATCATTTGAAAGATTTCTATTCAAATTTCATTAATTTTTTCTCTTTCATAGTATTAAAAATGATAATGAAAAAAGTTCTTTAGGAAAAATTTTGTATAGATTCCCTTGATTGTTAAAAGTTGTTGTGGATAATTTGAAATTATTTACGATGATTATTGGGTGTGGGTGTGGGTGTGGTGTACAAGAAAATCCAACATCCACTTACACACTTGAAGATTTCATATCTCATTTGGGTGTGAGTGTGAATTTGTTTCTATCCACAGCCATACCCATACCTCACCCCGTAATGAGATTTATCATTCCTTGTCCATATACACTCTTGCTTTCAAGTAGTTTTTATGTAATTCGATTTGAAGAAAGTCCATGGAATAAAGCCTCGCGTGAGATGAAGTCATCTCATTCCATCTCATGTCGTACGAAGAATTATGATTTTGATGGAGAATAATATCATTATTCTGACATAGACATCGTTTTCGTTTATTCAATTTTTTTGAATAATTCTTGCAAATTAGAATGTACTATATGCTAATTGCTGACATCCGATAAGAACCACACTTGTGCAATTCAAAAAATTCTTTGGAGGTGAGTTTTCCACTTTCAAGTGAACTACGAGAAGAAAGGTGAGAGAATAATCCTAAAAGGAAAAAGATAGAATGAGAAAGAGAGTTAGATTGAGGTAAAAGTTATTGATTTGAATTTCAATTTCTTCACTAGTAGAAACGTTAAAATAACGCTTAACAATTTGTAGCCTTTTCTATGACTTAATTAAATTCAACTCGAACTACTGATCCTCTCTCTCTCTAAGATTTTCGAAAAGTAATTGAGCGAATAATTGAATAGATTAATGAAATGATTTCAATCTCTTTAATAATCCGAGTTGAATGTTTCATTTATTTATCTTCAATGAAAAATTCTAAATCGAAGTAATTGAGATAGAAGAGAATGTGCATGACAGCGATGTTCTTGATCAACACCTCATGAATCTTCTAATTCAGTTCGAATTATTAAACAATAACTAACGAATTGATTCAGTTCAATATCAATTAGATTTTTCTCTGAATAAAATTTGTTTGACATTGACATAAAATCCATTGATTTGTTTCATTAAGACTTTTCTTTTGGTATTCATCAGTTAATTGTAACAATGGAAATTTTTTCAGCATTTCGATTATCAAAGATAATATTTGAGAATGGAAATTGATACATTGAAAAATCGATCATTTTTAGGAAAAAAAAAATCTTGAGAAACTTGAATGTCTTTCGATTGATCACGAAAATGAATAATTGAATCAGCTTCAGTTGAATATTTATTCGAAAGAAGCGAAATTTTTTTTGATTTATTTCAGAATCTTTATGACTCATTTGGATAATTTGAAATGACCAATCAATGAAAAATTTTTCGTTAATGATCATTGATTTCAATTGAACTAAATTGTTCATTCAATAATGATAATAATGAACATTCGTTGGAGATCTATGATGAAATTTTCTGAATTAATTTTTCACATTTACATACAAAATTGTAATCATTGATATCAGTCAACGTTAGAATGATTTCTATTTTTGATATTCTCGATGTTCGTCCACCTAAGTAGATATGCTACATGAAAAACCTAACTCGATAAGGTTACATCTAATTTTAACGCTATCTAGTACTTAAGGACTTTATATCACGCCGTTTCTTTTGTTCAAAATGCTCGAAAGTAGGTTTTCGAGGAAAACCATTGATTTTGAACCTACTGCCTTGCAAGAAAAGGTTTTTCTGAAATATTGGAAAACTATGAAGTATTTCTAATTGTATGGCGGTATTCAGCAGAGAACGAGCTACATTTTGAAAAACAAATTGAGTCTCCAACTCTAAATTTAAATAACTCAATATGAAGAAGTAATAGAGATCTCGCGTAGACTGCACTGGATAGAGAATGAAAAACGAAACAACATTGGGTATTTGATGAGACTCCCGGTATTACACGATCCTGGTTTTCTGTAAATTTTCTGCAGATCCATGACAGAAAAAAATTTTTTTTTCACTTTAAAATGATTAATTATTTTTTATGGAAGAAGATGAAGGGTGTGGGTGTCAATTTTTTTACATCCATATGATTATGATAATCAAGAAAGAAAATTATGAAAGTGTTTTAATCGAAGTATTCTTGTTCCATTTCAGCGTGATCTTCAAGATATTTTAGTTTCAATTGATGCCTTCCAGTAGCATGGAATGAAGATTTAAGTCTTGTTAAAGAATTTATTACAAACTATGCAAATTTTAAAGATAAACTTGGTCTTTCGGGAACAACATTATTATATTTAGCATCAATAATTAAACACATGTATGTTGTTAAATATCTTGTTGAAACTACTAACTATTCAATTAATGTTCAAAATGGACAAGATCTTGAAAAAAGTCTATTAACACTAAGATCAATTTCATTAAAAAATACAGATTTTAATCTATCAGCAGCTTCTTCTGCATTACGTGGAACTTGTTTTAATGGATATTTGAATGTTGAACATAGTGTTGACTATTCAATTAAAAATCAAACTGATGAAACACCTATGATGAATGAACAATATCATGCGCATATAACAGAATTTTTTCGAAATTTAATTGTTTCAGAATATTCAACTAATTTGAATATTTTTAGAGAAAAGAAACAATACATAGTTGATTGTATATTGAAATATAAATCATTTCATGATAACATATGGTATTCATTTTCAGTTATTGAATCAAATGAATTACATCAATCATTAATAGTTAAATCTGATGAACAATTTCAGTATGAAATTCTTCTTAAAGTATTTACAGGTGTTTGTACTGTTTCAACAATTGAATTTTTACGTTCAGGCAGAAATAGTAATCCTGAAAATAATGTAGCATGAGTCCGATGTTGTTGTTCATCTATTTTAAACTTTGATTGTTATGCTTTATAGAAAATAATGTTTTTCTTAAACATTCATTATCTATATCAGATTCTTAATCACCATCTTTGAAAATATGTAATATTTCAACTATTTATGACAGTAAATTTCAAATTCAATTAAATTCTTAGTATAATTCTCATGCGAATACGATATGAATTATAGGAAAAAAAAACCATTCGTTTAGATTTAGATTTTATTAGTGATGATCAATTAATATTTAATCTTCAAAAATTTTCATTTTCTAATGAAAAAAATTCGTTTTTTGTAATGCTTTATATTAATTATTCAATCAGAAAGAAAAAACATTTTTCTTCTACGAGAATAACTTTGCTCTCAATCTCGATTACATAAGTATACAAAGAACACATTGAGATAAATTCTCCTTAACTCAAATTTAGACTACGATTTTAGTTTACTTCAGTAAATTTTAAGCATTCTTCAAGCCCGATTGACATTCACTAAAAGATTGATAAAATATGATAATAATTCATAAAAAAAAAAGCAAGTACATTATTTTTTATGGTGATTTATTTTGACTCATTTATTGTGCATTATTCTAATGCTCTTAGTTTCGAAAATTATATGTTGGGTACAAATTCACATCGGTTCCCATGCACAAAGAAAACGAAACTATTTTAAATAGTGTTTTCTATGTTTGATTCTTTCATCAATATTTTTACATTCATTCGGCAGAGTGTAATGTAAGATTAATCACATGATTTGCACTATGGATCTCTTTATTTCTGATCACTTCTATAAATTAGCATAGCTAGAACGCATAGATTACTCGTACAGTCAAGCGTTTGGCACATTAAGATTCAATAGAAGCACCGGTGGATGAGAGTACGGGTGTCGATGGAAATGCAAAACATCCTCTCCGCTCTCTGATGTTCAATTCATATTTTACCCTTTATTTCTTATGCATTTACCACGTACTGAACAAAAAAAATTCAAGGAAATAGAAAAATAACCAGTATATTTGCATTACAATGGAGTGATAGAAAAAAAAATGAAAATCTTAATCAATTGTTTTTTAATGTGTCAGTCACAACATTTGGTTTCTTATATTTCAATTGAGCAAATGTGTAATTCTTTAGTTTTCATCTGCATAGTGATGAGTGTATTTGTAATCATGGCATTTTTTCATATGACCATGATGACCATAGTATTTAGCAGCAGTTTTTGCGCTTACTGCTTGTTCTTTCAATCGATTTTGCATGTTTTCTGCCATACGAACTAACATTTCAATCATACCTTTCTCATCATCTAAATGTTCGACTTGTTTCAGAAGAGTAATTTGTTCAGTAATAAGTGCAATAGCATCATCTCTCCTATTACTGTCTATCAATAGAGCGATTCTATCATCCATTTCTGCTGCCACTTGAACAGCATGTAAGGTTTTAACTCTTGGATCAATTTCTTTAATGAGTGATTCATCATTGACGAATATTACTGATAATTTACCAGTAATTGTTAGTGGCTCTTCTTCAATATGACCAGGACGATGATACTTCAATTGATAGTCGAGAATATCAACTTCTGTACCTTCAGGTACTGTTCCAGAAACAGTAAAATCACAGAGAACAACACGAAGATTATCGACATGAAGATCGCCAAGAATTGCACCTAATGCAATGTTTTCATGGCCCCATATTTTTGTTACAATTGCATTATTACGACCACGAATAATTAGTTGAGTTTGTGTTCCACAAACATCGAAAACACTCTGTAATGCTTTCGTCATTAATGTAACGATGACTTCAGCTGATTCAAGAAAAAAGAATTGACCACATCCAGCTTCAGCAATACCTTTCATAATTTCTACATCAAAATCTTCACCAATACCAAATGAATCAATTATAATTCCTTTTTCATTATATTTCTTAACAGCTTTCATAATTTCTTCTTTTGTTCTTAATCCAACATTAGCTAATCCATCTGATAATACGAACATGCGTTTGGAATATCCAGGATATGTATATTTTTCAAAAAGATTGGCACCTGTTTCCATAGCACCAGATAAGTAAGTTTGACCGCCAGTCTTTAATCCTTCCACAACTGAATAAAGAACTTGACGAGCTGATGCACGCGCATTTTCAAAAACGTTCCAGACATTATCGTCATAGGCAACTAGGTGTACAACATCGTCATCATGCAGCAAATTAAGTACAGAGATAACAGCTTTCTTTGCAAATTCTAATTTATTGTTTGATGCCATTGAACCACTGCGATCAAGTACCAAAACCAAATTGATTGGATTTCGTTTAGTAGTTTCAGCATTTTGTTCGTTCGCCTTGGTCTCGATTTCTATTCGAGTTCTTTTTGTATTCACTACACCAATGACGGCATAGGGATTATCCAGAATACAACGAATGTTAACTGAAGCCATGTTGTCAGTACTCATCGGTGTTTTTTTTATGGTTGTTTTTCAATCTATAATACTAAAGTAACAAAAACAATTGTTTCAAGTGTGATTCGTAGCCGAGACTGATTAAAACTGAACGATTCAGAGTAAAGTGAGCGTTAGTTTCATTTGGCCTTTCCAGCACTCATCAAAAGTCAATATAGCTACTGGTTATTTTAGGAAATTAATGTGAACTTCATAAAAATTATTGTTATTTTTCATTTTCTTTCTATATATTTGTTTGGAAGGGAACATATCTACACAATCATACAAAACTGTATGTTGCTACAGCAATGTTCACGTTTCTAAAGAAAGAAATTCCTTGTATAAATCATCAAATTTCAGAAATTCTTGCACAATGACAGAAATTTATGAAATTTGCCGTGACATGGCATATAAACTTCCTTAATTACACATATACAAGAAATAAATTGTCAGGAAGTTTCCGTAATTCTGATTTATCGATCACAAATTCTCTGGTTATCTTCTGGAACCATCACTGAAAAACTACTAACAAAAAAACAGATGAAATTTCCATCATTTATAAAAATATCGAAAGTTTCTGTAATTTCCTAGTAGCTATCGAGATTTCTGAAAATGTTCAGTTTTTGGCGATAGAGTTCTCCATTTGTACTATACTAATTTTTGTAATTAAGTAGAAGTTTACCAGTAATTACACAAGTTGCTCGCAAATTTGTGTCTGATATCTCGGCAAACTGTACAAATTTCGTATAGATTTTCAATATTACGTACAAAAAAAGTCCAAATTTGTACCAAATTATAGCTATAAAATTAAATCTCTGTTGCTTGTCAAAGCTTGATGGACTTATAGAAGTGAAAAAAATGCGTCAATGTTCTTATTTTAACATGATGGACATGTTCACTTGTAACAAATCAACAAAATTTTCATTGAAAAACTCTAGAGATTTGATTTCATAAATACGAACCAAAAAGGTGACCAAACAATGTAATTCATACAACTATTTACGAAAGCAAATTGTTTTCTATTCTTGCAGCATACTGTATTTTTGATGTTAAATTATGTTTTACTTCCTTTTGCTTTCATTCCTTTGGATGTAGTGTCATTAAAGGAACTAAAATACATACTTCGATTGATAAAGAGTTGAAATAGTTTCTTTTACAGACTTCGATCTCCAACAAAAAAAGAAGGAACAAATTGACAAAAATATACAAAACCACGATGCAAAAATTAAAATCATGCTCACTTTTATGTGTTGCTTATTTTGTTAATAATGTATGATAAAAAGTAATATGCAACTCCAAGTTTTCATCCTTTTATATGAGTCATATGAATTGCATAATTATGTCGCAATCACGACAACATACAAGCAAGAATATAAAAAAAGACATTCCTTCTATGGTAATACACATGCATCATTGTAACATGAGTCATTTGGTGAGAGAAAGGTATTTGTGCAAAGAAGTCATTACAATTTTATTGAGTATTCGAAAAATAATTTGTTGTTTTATATGACTTTCTCAGAAGTATTCCATCTTTTAGTGATCAATCTACGAAGTAAAAATCTCGAGTGAATATTTCAGAGAACAATCTTCACAATTTTGAACTAATCATTGATGGGAAATTATATTTCTTTAGCCGTTGTTAGCAATTAGTGAACAATTGGATGTAACTGAGAGAAGATTCAAGTTGTTAATTGATCTGTTAACATTTTTCCTTTTCTGTACAGGTTAACACTGTCACAATCGCATCCTTCAATTGTCACCGTCCTTTCTACATCTTATCGTTTTAAATGATGTACAAAAAAGCATAAAGTATTTAGCTATTTTCGATATATATTTTTTTGATCAATCGTGCATTAGAACAGAAATAAGAACAACCATCGATTTTTGAAAATGAAATTAAGAAAGAATTCATTTCGATTGGTTTTTATAATAGATAAAATTCAATAAAGAATATTTTCCTCATGTTTGTGATCAGATCACTATGAAAAAAGAAATGAATACGATAGAATGATCTGCAAATTCAATTTCTCTTTTAAAAAATGAAAAGATCTCACGATACAAACAGTCGAACGATGAACTAAGTACAATCAATAGTGGAAGCGAAGCCTACAACTCTGGCTCTTGAAACGATTCGCAATAGACAAAGAAATATGAATCCAATGAAATCTTCTACGAATTTTCTGAGAATTAATAGTTGAACAATCCATTAAAATTCAACAACCTATTCTCGATCAAGAATAACATTTATTTTACATTCATAAAAAGTGAGTTGTTCAATTTTAAACTGCTTTTTGAAAATACGAAGATTTTTAGTTTTTGGCTAGGGATGTGGAAAGTACGTTAATTATAGAAAAATTCTACAACAAATTAGTTCTTCTAGAATATTGAACCTAAAAGTTGCGGGTATTGGTCAGTGTACTACTTTTTTGTAGCAACACCCATACCTTCTAGGTTTTTTCATACCGAGATATTTTAATGGTTTCGTGAGGTTAGTAGTTTCTGACAGTCGGTTAAAAGTAGTCCTGAAAAGTTAGCTTGAAAATCTTTATTTCAAATAAAGTTTAACTTT